AGGATTTTTAGCATTTCGCTATTATGTTGCATGTAGCTTTGAGGGTTGTTGAGAAAAAGAACAATATCTGGTTCTACAACCCAATAGAAAGGCCATTCAGACAGTAGCAACTAATGTAAACTTTGATGTGCAAACTTTGATGTTTATGTAGTATCTTCAAAATGTGTGCGTAGTAGATATCCTCAAGTTCAATGTGTGCTTGTGCTTGACTGATCTGCCTGCAGTCCAGGTATGAATGTAAATGCTCTGAGCATCAAGAAGAAGAAAATCTGACAAGAACCGAAGATTGTTGAGCAGCAGAAATCGATTTAAAGTTTAACGTTATTTCCCAACAAATTGATTAAATTCATAAGTAAACAAGAAGGCTATTTTAGCAAATTGTAAATGGTATTTTGTTGATTTTTTTCAGAAAGTTGACGTCTGTTAGATATAATATTTGGTCTTGCTTGCAAGATCAGATAAGAAGAGACTCAGCCTGATCTTTATCTCCTGATGTTAAACCTTCACTTGATATAAAGTTGCTTTTTTATTTTCACGTCTTCACAAACTTGACTGTGTGTCCTTTCAGTAAGACAAACATGACAGAACCCAGTTAGCAATCAGTACACAGACACTGCAAGTTGGTCAGTCCAGGCAGTGTGTGTCTGCCTCCAGGCCTGTGTCCTCACTGTGTGTGTCAGGTTCAGTGACACCTCAGTCACTTCAGTTTGCAGCTTTGGTGTGTTTGCCACATGACTGCCTGCCCAGTCCTTTATGTGTGTGGACATGACGCACGACAGGAAGTGGTGTTGGGTTTTGTTTTGTTTTTTACTGAAACCTGACTGTTTTACCAGCTGTAAGGGATGCTTTGCGATGGGGTGGGGTTGTGTAGAGTAGTTTATGGTAGTGAATATTTTACATATGCATAAACCAAATGTATTTCTACTTTAGGAAACATGGTTCTGACTCTCTGTGAGATTGTCACAGAGAGTCAGAACAAAAGATAATCAAAGCAGCAATCTGTCTAGAGTTTTAGCACCATCTAAAGCAATTGGGAGCTGAAACCAGTTCCTCAGATTCACTAAGCAATACAAGTATTTCTAACACATTTTTCAATCACCATTTCATTCAGTTACATCAGTTCCATAAGGAGAAATGGAGCAGAATTGTAGCAAACTATTGTGAGAAGTCTGTGCCAAGTTGAACATAAATGGAATGAGATGAGCAAGCAAGTTTTTCGTAGAAAAATCTTGATGTTTTTCCAATCTGACTCGGCTTGAGCTATTTGCTAATGAAGAATGGGTACATGTTACTCTGAAACCACTGTTAAACTCAGCTGGAGGTTCATGGAAAAGCTCATAACTAACTCAAGTGGCCAATGGACAAAAGGCATAAGACAACTTGGACTGTCAACCTTCTTCACATTTATTTCTGTTTTCAAAGACACAAACGTGTGAAAATGCATATTTCTAAAATGTATCTTGACTTTTACATGGAAGAGATTGAGTTCGAAATGAAACCATCTAAAGACAGATACATAATAGTTCAAAGGTAAAATCATGATGATCAGATTTAGCTTTTTTTCCTTTGGTTTGTGCACACAAATAATTTCATTTCAGTTCCAATTTGTCTTAACATTAAGAAATTTCAAATAGACAGTATTTCAATAAAAAGAGACTAAATGAAAGTGTACAGTGTAATTCATATAACAAATTTTTGACTAAAAAAAATGTCCGATTAAGCGATTAAATATCAAAAATATCCTGTGTTTACAAGGGGACGATATCAGTTCTATGACAAGAACTGTTCTCCCATGGGGGCTAAAATAAAAACGAGGAAGTTAAATGTGCCGTTTAACTTATACAAACGTTCAGTTGCACATACAAGGCTTAGACACACCATAAGCATTTTCCAATGGCATTTATAGTTAATACTTAGAATCTGGACTGAAAAGTGCCTTTCTTAGCTTCCTTCCAAGATGGCTTCCTCATTACATTAAACCTGTGGGTTCTGTGGCCTGTGTGTCTAGTCAAGACTGAGTGGATGTGAGTAGAGTGTGTTGTGCTGTGTGTGTATGTGCTCTCAGTGCAGGAAGCCAGTCTGTGGTGTGGCTGCAGGCCAGGCCGAGTGGAATAATTGATTGCCGATTGACCCTCCACTGCCACTGCGGACAGTCTTCTCCACTGCATTACTGCACAGACTGACCAACAGCAGCTTCATGAGAATATGAATTATTCAACTGAGTGAAAAACATCAATTGAAAAAAGAAACATTAGTATGTCGGTATGTACTTCCTACAGGCTTTTTGAATGCTATAAATTAGAACGACGTAGCGGATGTAGAGATTCCAAATAAGCTTGTCATGTGAAACCTTGATGTGTTTCTTAATCTCCCGCGCTGGGCTTTAAAATGCAAATTCACAAAAGATTTACTTCACCACATTAAACTAAGATCTCAATTACAGAGTCATAGCTTTATTTTGAGAGAGTGGTACTGCATTAACATTAAATTTTTATATTGGCTACCTAAATTATTTTTTGTGAACAGCAGGTAAGCTGAATAAATGTTACATCGAGATTCCAGTAACCTGGGCAGGAGCCTGAATGTCTCCAAAACATTTACTTTAAAGAGACCTTTACTTTTCAGCTTAGCATTTTCCAACCAATAAACCAGTGAAACTCCCTCTTGACAGCAGAAAAAAACTTGCATCCATGTCCATGAAATGGCAGTCAGAGGCATAACAGAGGTAGATGGACTTTAACCCCCTCATTTCTCAAAACACATAAAATTGTGTCCTGATCCCACTTTTACATATTTCATTATGGATGCTTCTGATTTCAAGACAAAGAACCGCCAAACAATGGACACAGCTTTTACTCAAAATCCTGCTCCAAGACTACATGGCAAGAAGAAGGAGGGAGGATGAGAACAACTGAGCAGCAGCTCTACTATCAAGAATAACACAGTAATGATCCTGGAGGACTTTAGGAAGATACTTTAAATTCATCTCTGTCATTGCAGTGTAAAGGTTTCGCAACACAAAAACAACTAGGAGAAAGGGGATTTCCAGTACATGGCCCCCTCAGAGAGCATTCAAGAGAGGTCAGCGCTTCCTGGTGCCTCTAGGTTACTCAAGAAGTAAAACATTCGGCTGTTGATATCAGTGTTGTGGCCGATTTGCATTTGTGGCTCATAATTCTATAAACCACAGCCGTAACCACTGGTGAAACAGAAAAAAAGGCCTGAGTGGCCTTTTTTTTATCCTATAAAAGTGAATGAAAAACAATGAGTGGCTGATTGCTGAATCACTGGCGCTCACACAAACACACACAGAGAGGAAGTGAAACATGAAGGGAAGTGATAGTGGCAGATTGAAGGAATCAGCAGGAACTGGACCCCTCCTTAAAAGCTTGACTAAGTAAATCTGCTGGTCCTCAACTGAAAATAATATAAGGCAAGCACAATTATATTTGAAGAAATTATTGGAAGCAAATTAAGACCAGAAAACAGAGGCATCAAAAACATAGATCGTTGCAGTAAGTGATGTTAATTTTTCTGGTCAAACTCTTCAGCTTGGCGAACTCCTCCTTTGAGGCATTGTTTAAATGCTTAATTTACCACTTTTAGGTAACAAGTATGTCATTTCCTTTGATTTACACCCCTCCTCTTCCTCAGTGTTTTCAGCACATCATCCCTTTGGTCTCGTTTGTTTGTTTGTTTGTTTATTTGTTGGTTTCTTATTGTATTTTCAAAGCATGGGACAAGCTTAGATTTGCTGTTTGGGCATATTTTCTCCTGTGATAGCATGTTTGAATTTGTCCACTCAGCATGCAGCATGTCAGTGTGTCTGAATATGTGTGTGTGTGCTCGGTGTGGAGGCAGGGTACGCAGCTCAGTCAGGGGGTCGCAGCGCTAACGGTGCCAAATTGCTTTTCCCCAGTGTGTCGGGTAGGGACCGCTGTGGTGAACCTCCACAGCCCTCCCCCTCTGAAGTGAAGGTGGAGCTTCAGGCCCCTGGGTCACTAACTCCATCACCAGATCAAGAGTAATAATTATTAATACCCCGTTGAGTGTTAACAGCACGCAGGTGATTTATCAAAAATGTCGATTGCGTTTTGCGCGGTGTGACAACTTTTCAAAGCTGAGCACGTCCCACAGGAGCCGCTCTAAACGGAGCCAGTGGCTGCAAGACGGCACTCACAGGTTTCTGCTAAATAAAATAAAAATCCCAACACAAACAGATTGGAATTACTGCTGTCAGGAGACAAAAAACTGAAGATGACCACATATAACATAAATAAATAAATAAATAAATAAATAAATAAATAAATAAATAAATAACTCTAAATCCATAACAAATAATAACATAGTTGAAGCTAAAATGTTTAAGATGCATTTACTCTTAATGAATAAGGAAAGTAGGCAAAAGTTGAGCTACGTATGTCAGACATGACTGTTAAAATAGCTGCTAACTTTATATTGTCTGTATGTACTGTGAAAATAATGAAAAACTTTTTTAAAAGATTAGAATTGGAACAGAAAAGATTGGATGAGAAACCAAGTAAATATTGCTAGAAAACAGAGAAGGGGATCTAAATGTCAGCAAGTCTCCATAACAATCATTAAGAAATATCTAGAGATGAGACAATTCATACTTCTGACAGGTAAAGGTTTAAGCTCATCTTTTAAATTTACCAATATGTTTCTTCTGACCAGAAATAATTAATATTTAAAAATGATTCCGCTTGAGTGGTGATTGTCATGTGATAGAGAATCTGAAGAGAAAGGCAAAGGTTAGGGTGATGGAAAGGAGGTCTTTCAACATGGAAGCCAAAACTAAAGGAAAAATATGCAGAAAGCTGCTCAGCAACTACAAGAAAGGTGCAAAAATGATCCCCGATAAGGTCCTTCCACAGATTTTTGAGAATAGAATGAAAACATTTTGACATGCCATCTTTTTAAAGCAAAATATAAATGAAAAACTATTTTGTTTTTTTGTTTTTCAAAATTGATACTCAAACCTCTTGATTTCCTGTTGGATCCACGTTCCTGCCCTCATCTATGGTCAATAGCTCTGGGTAGAGACAAGTGCCCAAAATGAGTTTCTGGTTTAGACATAGGTGAGACACAGAGCAGAGCGGCTGATCTTAAATACGGAGAGGTGGCTCAGGTGTCTGAATGTCTCCTGCATGCCTACCTGCTGAGGTGTTCCTGGGATGTCCCATCGAGAGGAGACCCAGTACAGGAACACGCTGGGATTTCCCCAGAGGAGTTGGCCCATGTGGCTGGGAAGAAGGAAACATGGGTTTCTGCTAAGGCTGCCGCCGCGATCTGACCCTGAATTAAGCAGAAGATATTTACTTTAAAAGAAAAGTTTGAAGAGGAAAAAAATGAAGTCGAAAGGCAAAAGAGGTTACGTAACTACTACACTGGTTCAACTGACGTTATAGTCATCTTTGCAGGAAGTGAACTACTTGTTTTCAACTGGGATAAATGATAGATATTCATTCTCTTTGCTTATAATTCAGAATATAATTATAAGCTACATCGAAGAGTAATCCTCATGGATGTGTTAGGCTCACTCTCTGCTGCTTGTGCATGGTTCACAGCACAAGACCTGCTGCAGCTTCATAAATCAGATGGTGAACAAAATCAAAATGATACAGTGAAGAAACAACAACAAACAAGTTTGATTCATCTTTTTCTGTATTCCTAAATCTGCCTGGACACAGCATTAGACGGCCATCATGAAAAATACTTTTTTTTTTCAAAACATATTCATGTTACAGAAAGAAACAGATCCCAAATGTTTGATTGCTGGAAGCTGTTTGTGCTCTCTGCATCTACGAGATGCAGAGAAATAATCAAAGCAGGAAAATACAAGAATGACTTCAGTTTAACTATATAAATTATGTGGCTTCAACTATGGGTCACATTGAAAAGTTACAGAGTTATAAACTATCGGAATGAGATCATTCACTTTTAGAAACCTTGACGTGTTTCACAAGTTTCTAAATATACCTGGTGGCATCAGGAGAGTTGCAGGTTCTGATCATCTGTTATATAAAAATGAAAAGTTTAGCTAAATTTAAAGTCTCAGTCATCTTCTCAGCTCAATAGACGGTGAGCAAAGTCCATTTATTGAAGGGCTTTAACACAACAAACTGTATGAGCAAACACAAAATAAGAGCTCAGTCAAATGTGTGGAAAAAATAAATAAATAAAAAATTGGTCATGAGGGTGAAAACATCCAAATGTGACAGAAAATAATTACATTGTTAAGAAGGTAGAAAATTGCACAACATTTCACAATAATTAATATGCAAATACCGGCAAAAACACTTTTAAATGATCTGAACAACAACAACAAAAAACAACAACCTTACACTGATAAAAGAGTTGGACTATCTTACAAAGTTTTTTTTCCAAGCACCATCAAAGAAAAAGAGAGGATTTCCCAAATTCTGAGAGCATTTGACAGAATCTTGGTGGATCCAGTATCACAGCCAATAACATGATACGGCTTATGCCTCAGACAGAAAGAGAGAGAGAGAGAGAGAGAGAGAGAGAGAGAGAGAGAGAGAGAGAGAGAGAGAGAGGGAGAGAGAAACCTTTTCAGGGCTTGTGAAGCCATCAAGCAAACTTTGTGCTGAAAACAAATTCACAGAGCCAATAAACATCCCCCACAGCTTCCATCCGGAGAAACTCGTGCAGCAGCAGTGAAACAACGAAGGGAAGGAGGTCATTATCAGTTTGATTAAAAGGATGTGAATCCATCAGCTGCTGTTTGTCTGCACTCTGTTTATGATGTGCGTGTGTGTGCGTGCGTGGGTGTTTGTGTGTAGGTATACTGTAGGTAAGCCGAGCCGCAGAGACGCTGACTGTGTCGAATCTCAGCAGCAGCAGACGCCAGAGACGCACCGCAGCCCCCCCTCCGCTCCCATCTCTGTTTCTCTCCATCCCTGCTCACTCGCTTTGTTTGAGCTCAGATGGACTCTGCCCTGATTTATAGAAAGAAAAGCCCTCAGAGTAGTCACAGTGATATCTCTCTTTTCCACACGCGCGCGCGCACGCGCACAAAGCGAGCCCCGATAGTCCGCTGCATACCACCGCATCCTGCTCCAGGTTCGCACACGCGCACACACGCGCGCAGTCCCCCGTCTGTGCGCGAGGTGACGGCTGTCACACAGCTCAACGTTTCCTCTGAGTCAGCAAAAAGCAGCGGGAGGAGCAGAGTGATGGAGAGGCTGGGGAGGAGAGAAAGAGAGAAAGGAGGGAGCAGGAGAAGAGATATTGGGAGAAAATTAAGATTTCAACTCCAAGCTGAACGTTCAGCCCATAAAGGGACTCAGCAAATTATTTAATTTGGAGAGTTAAAGTGCAGAGATGAGAAAGATGCGTGCACTCATATCAGTCGAAAGCGTTCTTCTCTATCATCGCTCCACGGGCGATAAGTGGAAACTGACTAATTTTAGTCAGTTTGAAACTAAGAAAAGGCCGTTTTTTTATGTGAAGCAATCAGCTATAAGATATAAAGTGGCATAGAATGTGTTAAAAAATGTTAATGGGAAATTATGTTTCATCAAATTAAAAGTAAACTAAAAGAGCAATTTTTCTACATCAGGAGCAGAATGAAGAGCATCTCTAAACCCACAGATAGACTTTTTTACTGACTGTTTTAACTTACCGAGTTTGTTTTACTAGGGATTTACTTGAGAGTTGATCCGAACGTGAATGCCACATACAGACCTTCTGATTGGACGGAGTGAGGCTAAATGTTTCATGTTGAACAGTTTGTTTTATTGTAAAGTAGCCTAAAATGGCTTTATATTGCGATTTTAATCATGATTAAAACACATTTCAGTTGGGCACAGTGACAAAGGCTGACAGCACTCACACATAACTTAAGAGTGTAAATTTACAAACATGAGAAAGCAGATAAATCAATCTCAACAGCAGCAATCTGGCCTCAAACTGCACCGCATCCAATAATTATTAATGATGATGAACTTCTGACTGAAAAAAGCCACATCACAGCTTTAACCAGCGGAGCAACTCAAGATATAGCTGCTGTAGCGGATCACTGACCTGCACCCACCCAGAGGTCTCAGCACGCTCACTTATACACGCAGTAACACACGCGCGCAATTTCCCAATCACGCGCTGCTTCACGGCGGTTTATGATCCGTGTTTGAAGTGAGCCACAAGCCGCCGGGTCTGAAGACGGTGTCACATCAGCACCAACCCGGGCTGGCACTCGTCTCAAGCTGCGCTGTGCGCCATCCAGCGCCAACAAACCGCTTCATTTAGCGCTGGCACAAACACGAGAGCGCGTGCGTTAGTGCGCGCGTGCTCGCATCCCACGCCACGTGCAGACCACTAAGGTGTCATACAAAGTTACCCCTGTGGAACACGTGTTCAGTAGTTGAGAGGAAGCGGTCGGACAGAGAGTAATGAACCAGCCGGGCTTCCAACATCGATCACCGACTTTCGAGGTTGCGCGGAGGCCCGTAAATAAGCGGCCGGAACCGCGACAGAGAAGTGCGCGCTTTTTATATGGTCCCGTCCTTCACACACTCACACACACACACGCATCTGAAAATCAGGGCAGTGTTGCAGGAGGTCAGAGCATCTGCTGCCCCAACATCCTGCAGTCTGCGATGGGGCGACAGAGTCAGCGAGGCCCGCGGAGAGAAGCTCCATCACCGGCTCCGAGTTCAGCGCCTCTAAAATACTAAAATGAAACGAAAAAATGTGGAGAAAAAAAAGGATAGCAAAATCAATATTTGAATAATAATAATAATAATAATAATAATAATAATAATAATAATAATAATAATAATAATAATAATAACATTTTATGCGCGGAATTTTTTTTTCAGATTTTTATTAATATCCTTCCTTCCTTAATTTAAAATATATTTAAATTAAAATGTAATCCACTGTGATATAAAACTAAAAACTATTCAGAACGAATGTTTTAAGTTGCGCTTACAGCTGCACATGACATTTACTTTCTGTTAATGAGCAGTAAATAATATACATATCATTTTTAAAATGTCACTTTTTGTTTTGTTTCATTGTTTCAAAACCAAATAAAGTTTCGATGTCGCTCATTGCCTTATAAAAGCCCCCTCCATCAGCAGGAGGGGTCCACACACTTAATTAACATTTCGTAAGTTTCAGAAATGTGGATTTCTGAAACTTCAACTCATTTTCGTTTAATTGTTTTTCAATTAGTTTAGACATTTGGACAAAACGTTTCGCTGCAACAACGACAGACAGCAGCCGCGCCACGGATTTGGGACAGAACTTTTTATTAAACATTATGAAAACATGAGTTTCTCAACAAACTTTCCCCCCCACTTTGCAGATTTTTCCACTTGTTGACGCGCCAGGACAGGTCCGTCGGATAAGTATAGAAATCATATGTACAGATATACATCCACAGCACTGTGCAGAAGTCTTGAGATAGATCAAATCGCCATTAATCAAACTCAACTCGTTTAAGATTTTTTTTTTTTTAATTGGCCGAGATATTTTGGCGGGAACATGAATCCTCGGTTTTGTTTTTCCACAAACACCAGAGCGCTTCTGCACAATATTGCACATATATCTTAGGCAGCAGACAACACACGAACTTTTTTTTCCTGTTGACAGAGTGATGATCAGCTGTGTCCCGTTTTTTCTAACAATCAAGCATCCTCCCCTTCCGCTCGCTTTAAGACATCGGGGCTGCGGGGCAAACCCCGCAGGCCCCGCAACATTTTTCATTCTTTACCACAAAAATAAAAAAGAGAGAAAATAAATCATTAAGTATTTTTTTTAATCTTCAGATTGGTGCATAGAGTTTTAGCAGCAGTCCTTTTCCATCCTTTAAATCAAATTTACATCCAGGTTAAAAACAGAAACATTTCTCCAGTTTGCTCTTTAGTGCAGGTTCAACATGTTCAGCAAGAGGAGGAGGATACCACAGACAATTTGCATGCTGTAACATACAAACATTTTTGGATTAAGACATTTCGACGAATCCAAGCAACAAAAGCCTTAAAAAGAGAGAAGGTAAAATAACACAGATGACTGCTTGTTTTGTTTTTTTTTTTGTCTTTTTTTTTTCTCTACACATTATGTACAGGTGGAAATAAATACAGTCTAAAATCTGGCTCAGGTAATCTCTTTTTGTCGTTTTTCTTTTCTTTTTTAAAACAATAGAAAAAACTGATTGAAAACAGCAGGTAAAGACGCATCCATGTGTTTCGCAGTGAAGCAGATTGTTTTTGCATTTCAGTCCGCAGTTATTTGCACCTCTCATGGGGGAAGGGGGGCTTTTTCTGCATACCCAGGCCTTACTGATGACTGAGGGATGGAAGGATGGCTGGGGAGAACCCATGGGTCATGCTTTCCATACATATGTGGATGGGGTTTTGGCTGGAGGTTACCATACATGTCCTGCATGCAGGGTTGCAAAAGGATGAGGGAGGGGGTCGGGCGGGGGGAACTATTACATTTGCATTACTGAGAGTCTCTGCACCACAGCGCATTCTCCTCCTGCAGTCTGTGCTGCTTCTGCCTGGTTCTAACACCAACCCGGCGCTCTCTCTGGATTAAGACAGTCATTGGTTCATAAGACTTCTGACAGGAGAGGAGTCTGCAGCCTGAAAGTGATCCCATGTGCCAACCTGACTTGTTTGTTGTGGACTTACAGAAGTTTAACATCTTTAAGACTCACAGACGTGACGCTTGTGCGCACCTAACCTTTATTTGTTAAGAAGATGAGTTTGAAAGTCTTTTGCTGTTGAGGAATAACTGTAAACACAAATCAGAAAAGATCGATTAGAGTCAGAAGAGTGTGGAGGTGAGCGTGGTAATGTCTCTCTCACATGAAGAACTCGGTGCTGGCCTGTTTCCCGGACGGATCTCTCGTGTTCGCGGGCCCGCCGGAGTTGTAGGTCCGGCTGGCCAGCTTCTCGTACTTCTCCTTGTACAGATCCCGCTCCTTCACAAGGCGCGCCACGTCCTGCTTCAGTTGCTCCACCTGGTTCTGCAGGGTGCACTTCTCCGTCTCCAGCATGTGCCGCTGCTGGACGCGCTTGAAGCGGCAGGACTGCGCGTAGCCGCGGTTCTTCAGGGTGCGCCGCTTCTGCTTCAGGCGGATCACCTCCTCCTTGCTGAAGCCCCGGAGCTGCCGGTTCAGCTCCCGCACTGTCATGCTCACCAGCTGCTCGTCCGAGAAGCGGTCCTCCAAGCGGGTGTGGTGGCCGTGGTGGTGGTGATGGTGGTGGTGGTGGGCCTGATGGTGGTGCACAGCCGAGGCCGCGGACAGGTCCTCTCCGACGTATTGCTGCCCGCGGAAGCCCTCGTAGGCCTGGTGGTGGTGGTGGTGATGGTGCGCGTTGCCGATCAGGGCCTCAACCGCGTCCTCCGGGGTCAGGTTGAGCGCCTCCGGGTTGATGTGATGCTGGTAGCTGGGGATCCAGTACAGGTCCTCCAGCTGAGGCTTGCCCGCGTTGCTGTGATTGTTGTTGCCGCTGCTGTTGTTGCTGTTGTTGCCGACGTTGACGCCGCCGGGGAGACCCTGGTTGGGCTGCGCGCCCGGACTCGGGGCGCAGAAGCTGGGCGAGGAAGGCACGGAGGAGCAGGGTGTGCTAATCGGGGTGGAGGACAGTGAGCCGGACGGCAGGCGATGACAGAAGCGGTCGGCCTCCAGCGGCTCCTTTTTCACCTCGAACTTCATCAGGTCGAAGTCGTTGACGTACTCGATGGCCAGAGGGCTGTTAGGCAGCTCTGCGCTCATGGCGAGGTCGGTGGCCATGTCAGTCCATGCGACGACTCCCGGCCTCACAGCCAAACCGACAGCGGGCAAATTGCAGAGGGAATTAAAAGCCTGTATGGTGTATATATAGGTACACGCACACGCCTGGTGCGTGGAACTGCTGCAAGCCCGCTGGGTGGGAGGAGAAACTTCTTAAGGCTGCTAGTTCCACAGGCCACTTCTATATATAGCGGAGTGAATATATGTCTGCATGTAAATGAACTTGTACACCTGCCAGTTCGCCTCCGCTTGCAGCTCTTGTTGACAACTTTTCCCAGGTCAGATGAAGGCTTTAATAGCAGGAGCCCCCGGAGCGGCTGAAACTGGAGCCCGCTGAATTTGGAGACACCAGCTTGTGTTGTCCTCCCTTCACCTCTGCAGAGCGCTCCCCCCTGATTTATTGCTCTCTGTTGTTCTGTTTTTGTTGGTCAGAATTAGTTTCCAACCATCGGTCGTCTCCTTCTGCAGTTCTAGTCACCGCAGCATGGCCCAGCTTCAAAAGTTTCGCACTCGGTCACATCCAGCGGTGCGCGGGCGTGCGTAAAAGTGTGTCAACAGTCCCAGGAATCCAAACTCTGTTCTGCAGGCACGCCTGTTCTCAAAGTTCATAAAAGTCTGAGATGAAGCATGAAAGTTGGAGGTCTTACTTGGAGACAGAAGCTGCTCCTTGTTGCTGGCCTCAGTCCATATTTCTACTTGAAGCTGGCATCGTCCCCCCCGCCGGGTCGCGCTCCTGACCTTAACGTGTTGATTGTGTGTAAAATTGTGTACAAGAGGTGAGAAATTCCACTTTGCTTTGTTTCTAATTGCCTTCTAAGTGCACCCCAAAGCTTCCCGGTGAGAACCACGCAGTATCAGCGAGGCGCTGGGAGGCAGCCTCTTATAAACGCTGCGTCCCGCCCTCCCCTCACTGCCGACCCTCCCACACGGAGAGGCGACAGGCCAATGGGAGGACGCCGCTGGCGCGTGGTTTAAGTGAAGCTACTTGCTCCGTCCGAGGATAGCCGAACGAAACCGAAGAAGGCGAGAGAAGCGGAGCGCGCATGCATGCATGCATGCAGGGAAAACAGGTGCAGCAGATCCCCCCCTCTAGTGACCGAGCAGGCGCTACTGCATGGAGGAGCGCGGGCCAGACAGACACCAGGAAAACCTCAGGAAGAAAAATAACTTCACTCTATACAAACAAACAACAAAAACAACAACAAAAACATCTTCAGTGCAGTATAACAGAGCATTGGATATGTAGAAGGTAAACGTAGATGAATTTATGCTCACTTGGAAGAGTAAAGCTACTGAGCTCAGTAACGTTAAACTTTGAGGTTTGGGTGAAATGTGAAAATAAATTGTATAAATACTTGAAACCTTTGAAATTGCTATCTTAGGCTTTAGTACTGATGGGTTGCAGTATTATGCACATTTGAAATATGTTAATTTGCTTCATAATTGTGGAAGGATTTATTGAAGATACCTTACCAGAATGAAACAATGGCTTTGGACTTTGTGGGAACTTCACATTTAACCTGAAGCAACTTGGATTTTGTGTTCTTTTTTGTTTTTGTTCTCTCTTCTTTTAGACGTTGGATCCTGTTTCTAATTACTATTGAAAATATGATCGTAAAGTTTCTGGTCACGTGATATTGTAACAAGAACTAACTGTTCTGGTGAATGCCACAGATTTGAGGCACTAACTCTGTACATATCCACACTTTTTCCTTTCACTCAACTTTATATTACTATTCCTGCAGCAGTCTGTGACCAGTGAGCTATTTAGCATTTTGTGTCTTGTCATCATTCTGGAAAATGTAAATGATGCTAATTCAGCAATCTTCCCCGTAATAGTGAAAAACCCATTTTTGTATAAAATATTTTTAATGGTTTTAATAGTCAGATTTTATAACTAGATTTTGGGTTTTCATTATCTATAAATACTAATAATGAAATTTAACAGAGACAAACAGTCTACAAAGGTCAGTCTGAATAGTGAAACTATATAAATGATTTACACACAAAAAAAAATACTTTTCGATTATATTTTAATTTACTGTGACACTATCCCTAATCATTACTAGATTAGAAGTGCATCAAAGTGCACCTAGACCAATGTCTGGTGTTAGTTTTTGTTCTTTTATTCAAATGATAAACTGTCACATTTTGCAGTGTAGGCTAGTTGATCTTCCAATTACCGATCAAAACCCAATGTAGAAAAAAACAAATATATATATAATAAGATTTGTGCATCTCAAAGGTAGACTTACTAATTTTAAAGCAGTGATCTATAGAGTATTCCCACTTTTGTTCTCTAGCTGTATAAACCGTTGCTTTTTATATCCACTTATCTCCTTCAGGGCCTCTGATACCACAAACCAGCAAATCTATCAATCACTGATCGATCTGCGGCCCTCTGCCAGAGGAATAAAAAAATCAATCTGCATTTCCTCAAGTCTGCGTGGAGCCGTGACTGCGCGTGGGTTAAGTATGATTGGACAGTCCCAGCAGGTTTTCATTCCCAATTAACCACAGATCGCATCCCCCGCCTCATCTCTGCGGATCGACGGATAATTAAGCTGCACCGCCGCCCGGCTCTATCTGGGACACATCTGTCTCTCTGTGTGTGTGTTTTTTTGTTATTTCTGGGTCCGGGCAGCTTCCAGGTGATGGGGTGGAGGGGCAGGATGTCGATACCGCTGATAAGCATCGTGGGAGCAGGACTTAAACAGGGACGTCGCTGCGCCTGACCCGTTTAGCCTTTTCAGCAGCGCCCCGGGGCCCCCGGGGGACACATACTCAGCGGGCGATATATCCGAGGAATAAAGTGCCGATCAGTGTAAAAAAACAGGTGGCAGTAAGTTTAACTTGGTCAGATGTGGAGAGGAAAGCCTTGCGCAGCTGCTGAGCTTAATTTCCAGTCCGAAGCGGTCATGAAATATACCCCCCACCTCCTCCTTCCTCTGCTTCAAATCTGCTGGCAGGGACGAAAAGGAGGATATGAGATGAAGAGACGGAAATCATATCAAAGTATTTCAAGTTTAGGTGCGCAAAGTCATTAGAAGAGGCTTTTTGGAGCTGGCCATCAAACGGCCAGCTAAGCAGTCTGCATTGAAATGGCGCAGTTAAGGAGATCTGCGGTGGTCCATTCATTGTGAGGGGAAGGGGAGTGTCTGCCACCGCAGCTTGGGACAGAAATATTTGAAGTCAGGCTTTTCCTTTGTGCCTTTACATTTTAGGACTTCGCTGCAAATGCACTTCTGGCGACTTAAGTGAAATGGACATCAGCAAGGTGGAGGATCGTTGCTGGGCTTTAGAGCCAAGGTGGCCCCGCATCGCAGCTCCCGGAAGGGGCTCAGGGTTATCACAGGCCGGGATGGAGGGGGTTCTGTCACTAATGCTCCAGCGCAGGAATCAGCTTTAATTTAAAGTTAGGGGTCATCTCTCTATACAGAGTAGAGTTACGGTATAGCTTAATGTTTGTCCCAACGACCTGTAAAAATGTTTGTGGTTTCAAAGATGGAAAAACTGCAAATCTAAACACTGATTTGCATCATTTAATAACTTTACAGACAACTCACCAAAGCAAAATATGAGGAGCTTCACTCAATTCAGGGACAGACCTGCTGAAACCAAATGAGGTGATTTGTTAGACATGCACAGATTTTTAATTATTTTCCAGTCAGAAAGATGCATAGAGCAGAGATAAGGAAAAGCATGTCAATTCAAACGTTAACATCTATCCATCCATTATCTATATCAACTTGTCTTTGCAAGATCACAGGGGTTTGGTGGCAGTTTCAAGAGGTCAATGTGGAAGAGGCAGGGTACACCCTAGACAGTTTGCCAATCCATCACAGGCCAACAAAGAAACACAGGACAAACATGCATTCACACTCACTCAAACAAAATGACAATTTAGAGAGATCAATAAACCTAAAAGTCATGTGTGGGAAGAAGATGAAGTACTCTGAGAGGACAGCAGGGCCTGGGCTGGACTCCAGGCCCTGTGTATTAAGTTTGCAAATTCTCCCTGTGCAAGCATGAGTTCTCTCTGGGTACTCCGGCTTCCTTGGATAATGCAAAAACATAACTGTTGTCATGTCAATTGGCTTCTCTAAACTGCCCATAGGTATGGATATGTGCATCGTTGTCAGTTCTGTTTCTGTGTTGCCTTGTGACATCTACCAACCAAGGTATAGTCACCAATAAATAACCATGAGCCTTCTACAACCCTTCAAAGAGACAACCCAATAGGCATAGAAAAAGTCAGCTGAACCCTTCAGATTTAGCTGACAAACGTCTGTTTGTTCTTTTGTAAGTTTTGGCTTTTATTTGCCTTAAAGATCCTGACTAAAGCGGAGAAGAAAAAGAAAACAACAAAATATCAGAATCCCATGTGGATTATCAGAAGGACATCAGGTCAGGAGTTTCATGAAAGGTTCTGGAAATCCTGTAGGGCGGTATGCTGGCATCTGTCAAGGCACAAGCCAACTCTAATCAGAAGTGAAAATACTGTAAAGAACCACCAAAAATAAAGCCTGCCATGAACTACAAGATGCTGAAACACCAAAGCCACTCTCCAAGTTCTTCAGAAGTTCTGCTAAGTACAGGGAAAACTCTTCAACTTGCACCCACCTGAACAATTGAACAGCTGAAACTTGGACATAACTCGATGCAACAAGGAATTGATCCCAAACACATAATGATACACAAGCATTAAGCTTCTGGAATAATCTGACCTTCAACCTTTTTGAAAACTCATGGATTTGTTGTGAACCTTTGATCAACCATTAGTTTAACCATTCCTAACAAGGAGAAAATAAACTTTAAGTGGGTAAAGATAAGTAGAAGAAATTGTAAAGAATCCACAGAAGTATTTGAACACGTAAATCGCAAACCTCCTGTCCAAGACACTCTCACACACCATGAAGGATCACGGTTGACCTTTCTTTTTGTCTTTCCGACTCTGGGCGGACTGATGATTTCTGTCCAGCTGACTCCTCTCCATCTCGTCCGCTTTTACTAAAAATTGAAATATTGATCTTAATTAGAGTTTGCCGAGCTCAGCAGCTCGCGTTGAGGGTTTTAGACACGAGGCAGCAGACATCTGTCTAAGGCACTTACATCTTCAGCGCAGGAGCGGAGCCACGTGGGTGAGGGGGAGGAGGAAGGGAGAGAAACGGGTGGCGAGGAGAGAAGAGTGATGGCTCCCTGTCTCCTGCCTTTTCTAAGGAACATGTCGAGCTTTCCATCTCTGCTTGCTGCTGTCGATACATCTGAGAAAGAAACAGGCTAAAAGTGACACACACACACACACACACGCACCCATGCATACAAAGGCAGGGATACACGACTCCATCCTGTCAGAAAGGATTCAACATGGTTTTAAGTGTGTGACAACCGGTTCAAGAACAAAAGTTTTCCCAGTCAGCTGTCTTAAAGATGACAATCCAGATTTTACCTGGCTCAGTGCTTGCCGCAGTCTTGCATCATTCTTAAACAGCCTAAACGACAAGCCAAAAAAGAACATTTGTGCTGTTAAGCTGATCATTGTCACACTGAACTGTGAAATTACCACAAATGCGATAAGTTTTCAGCTACAAAAATGCTTGGGAGTGCATTGTTTAGGTTATTGATAACCTTTTAAATCCCGGACGTGGCATCTAGGATGGTATGCTGACTCAAATTCACAAGGTGGAAGGGGAAAAAAAAAATCTTAATATCTGTCTAAGTTGCAAAGGATTAGCACCACAAACGACTTGTAGAGTCGTTCATAACAGACGTGGGGAGTTTATCAGAAAAAAAAGTTCCTTCTAAGACTCTACAGGCCACATTTAGCATGTTAAATATTAAAATTCATGAAAACATAGCCACAAATACACTCAAAAATATGTTTTGCTAAAATGACTGAAGAATACATTCTCTAAGATGAACATTGCAGAATGATGCAGGTTTGTTAAGATGCATATGTTTGTTAAGACCTCATCCCAACTGTCAAACATGGTGGTGGGTGAGGGGTGATGATGTGGATTTATTTCACAGTCACATGCCTTGCTGCCATTGAGAGGCCCATGAAATCCTCTTGGAAAGTAACCTACAGTCTAATGTGAGGTCATTTTTCTGACAGGTGAAGCTTGCTCAAACTGGACCATCACCAGGACAATGAACTCAAACACAGCAACAAGTCTCCAACAAAATTTTTCTTGCCAAATTTTAGATAAACAACATGCAATTCAAGGCCTTGCGATAAGGAGTCGACACTCTGATTTTAAGTCAGCAAATTGTACTTTTTTAATTAAATTGTCTATGATTGCGATCATATCTAAACAGGGCATTTAGCGACCCACTTCTTCCAAAACAACTATAGTACTAAACAAACAGATTTCAGTAGCAATCAGCACCTTAGTTCTTCTCAAAATTAATACCAAAAGACATCATAAATAACCTGAGATAATATGTTTGTTCTGCCCATATCAGCTCCAAATAAGTGAAAAATTAAGAGGAAATAATGTTTCACCTCTTCACATTTTGACATCAGTGAAAGTGTACCTGTAGATGTTTTACTTTTCATAGTTTTTCTAAGACAGGAGGAAAAGTTGGATTTTTAATTACATTTTGCACAGAAGAATTCAAACTTTAAAGTCTTTATAAAGTTAACTCTAACAAGATTTATGTTTCTTTTGTAACTACAGAACAAGCCAACTCTGCATTCTTTGCTATTTGGGAACATGTTAACCACCAGTTTTAGAACATCTGTTTAGTTTTGTAACGTTTAAGATGCTGTGTAGAGTGTGATATGTTAATCCAGGCTGAATGGGGCTTCGGCGTTGATGGAAATGCGCGACTGCTGTGTATGTCTGGAATATAACTGTAATTTTAACACATGAGGCAGAAGAGAGACAGATTCCAGTCTGCAGCGAGTACCCCCTGCAGCCGGCCGAGGGTGAAGTCACTCTGCACTCATGTGTCTCCTCCGTGCCGGCTGCTTCTGTCACCACCTCACCGATGAAAGTTTTCACAAACTGGCTCGGCTCATGTGACGCTCGCAGCAGAAACCCACAGAGCACCAACCATTAACACTACCACAGAAACATCTAGGAAGGAGCATGAGGCTGAAGTTCAATGTTTTATTTCCCTTTATTTAAAACATACACCGAGGGGCAAAAAACTTCGACTACAAACATTTATTAATGAAAAATATGTCTATACACAAAGAAGATAAAATTTTTGGGCCCTGAGTGAAAGGGACTCAAAAAAGACTGGGGCTCAAAAATCTCAGGTTAGTCAGATATTTCCAGCTTCAGTCTCTCTGGTCTCTCAGTCGGGGTTTGATCTGCAGCTTTCTCTCTGTGGAGGAAAAGTAGTAACAGGAAACAGTAATGAGAGAAGGAGCTTTCGTAAAAATGAAATGCTGTATTGTGTAACCGCCTCTAATCTAGTTCGCATTAGATGCTGCTGAAACATTGAGCAATGATGTCTCAACTGATGAGTAAATGAAGAAGAGAGCGGAATAGCGGCGATGGACGGAGGAGCGTGCAGCGATACATCACGCCTGAGCTCGTTTATGCAAAGTGAAGAGCGGCTTCGTTGGCCAAGTTCCACCTTTAATGAGGCTTTGGGTGGTGCAGTGTGTTACTCAGGGAGCACACAGTCATTAGTAATACTTAAGAGCTTAAAGCAGCTGGTCTGCAGGAATGGAGGGACAAGCAGAAAATTGCTGCTCTGTGTCTGCAATAAACCTCAACTACTGTGTTTTAAAAAGGGGGTTAACAGAAACCTGATACTCTAAACCCATGATAAGAACTAGAGTCCTTTTGGACGAGAAGTGAAGCACCTTAAAAAAAAAGAGAGCGGTTCAGTTTCCCTCTATTTACGCACTTACAGAGGTCATGTCCCCGGTGATGGATCTACATGGATCAGAAGATAAATTAACTTTCATAATCAATAAGTTTGTTTTGGTTTGTATATGCTTTATACTCCTCCTTTGGTCAGATGAGATCAAAAGCAAAAAGTCAACCCACCATGTTTAGAAAAGGAGAACTATTCCCACAGTCAAGCACAGAGGTGAAAGCATCAAGCGTTTTTCTGATAATGAACAAGATAACTTGACCACATTAAGAGGTTGATGGACACTAACAGGCATCGAAAATGTTGGAGGAGAGCCTTCCTCCATCAGTACAATTAGGATGAAAAGAGCTGAGTTTTTTTTATGATGACAGTGGTTCAAAGCATACAGAGGAAAGAAGAAAGTTGTGGCTAAAAAGAAGATAAAAGAGTGGACAGCAGAAACAAAGATGTGGCAGAAATAAAAGCTTTGAGGTTCCAAGCAGCAGCCAAGAAACAAAGGATTTGGACTACAGTAACTGCTAAAACATGTCGAACATATTGTTTTAAATTCAAGAGGTCTTTTGAAACATCAAAATTTTCACATACATTTTTTTTGTTAATTGCTTTTGGAGAGAAGAGAGGAAAATAAGACCAGGGGTAAATGTTGAACTCTGTTTCCATTTAAAACCTTGTTAAAATAAGTAGAGTTGAGAAGTAAAGACAGAGTTCGAGTAGGCTGGCACAACTGACCAATCAGAGCTGGACTTTATCTTCATGTATGGGTTAGTTTCTTCTGGGTTCCTCTCATGTTACAAGCATTTATGAGTTTATTAAATCAAAGTAATAAAGTAATAGCTCCTCTCAGACTAAACTGCATGTACATGTGGGTGTGTGCCTTCAGCAGGTGGACAGTTAGATCCTGGTGAAAGAGGGGGGAGGGAGTAAGCGTGATTGGGCCGAAGAGGCCTCTACCCTAATCCTCTATCTGTCAAATCTGTCAACAGAGAGACGAGCCGAGCCTCGGTCAAGTCCAAAAGCTAAATATTATTACCTCCATCACACTCTGTTATCTGACTCTGATCATCATTATCTGTTTGCAGCTCAATCACATAACCACTTCCTCCATCGCATAAAATAACAGGATGATTTGGATTTGCAGCGTTCCTCCAGTGTCACTGGCTGGAGTAGACTGTAGATACACATAACATTTCTTATAAAACATCACATATGAAACTGTTGAAGACTCTTATATGCAAGCACTTAACAAAAATGAGTGAATGTTGAGATTTTGACTTAAAACCTCCAAATCTGTCCACTCTACAAAGGTGGACGTAGTCTCAGTTTCTCACAGGACTTCAATTTCTTCAGACATGTAATGTTTTGGACTACTGCTAGTCCAGTGTCCAGTTCTGCTTTAGCTTTAATGTTTCTCCCAAACAGTCAACAGTTTCTCAAACACCCTCTGATACCCAGCTTAACTCTGACGGTGAGCTTAAAATGGATATTAAATATCCAGGTGTCCATAGCTGCAGCAGCTATTTAAGATTTTTTATGACCATTCTGTGTGACTGTTTTTCTGCACCATTTAAGAAGTTGGGAGGGTTAATACCTTTGACTTGTGTTGCGTTAGCCTGAGGTGAATCCGGTGCATCTGCCTCCTCTGGGGAGCTGGACAGAGAGATGAAGGATGGTAGAGCCAGAGGACCCGCAATAGGTGTTCCTGGAGCTGCCTGAGTGTTCTCCGGCATGACAACGGAAAGATGGGGCCTAAAAGAAAGATAAATATATTTGCAGAGGCCACATTAAAGAGCACAATTATTGTGAAGGGTTAGGTTTAAGATGCCTTTCTAACCTCTTCATAGGTTCTTTAGAGCGACTTTTCTTGACTGGAATGGTGGAAGTGCTGCTGGCGCTGCGCTTGACCCGCTGGCGGTGCTGCAGTTTGCAGCGAGAGCCTCGTGGACAGGAGCCAGTCTTAGAGAAGTCTGGACACACCAGAGTGTGTTTCTTCTTACACTAATGATCAAAGATACACTCAAAGTTAGCAATTTTCTTTGCCCTCAGAAACATTCAACTGTTTATTTTTCAGAACTTAGCAAAGCTAGTTTAAATTTACGAGGTAAAGGAGAGTGACTTTCTTTTTACATTGACTGCTGTAGCTATAATGAAACTCTCCAGAGGTTGCAAAGGGAGTGCCTTGGACAACACCTGATTTGCAAATTTATTTTCCTATGGAAGCTTCTTGTGCAAGTTGTTTATTAAAAAAATATTTAGCCAAATTTAAAATGAGGTTAAAATAATTTGGATGTAATATCAATCACAATTCAGCAACATGTCACCTTCCCACACAGTCACTTTTATTTAGCGTCATGTCAAATGATTTATGGCTTTGCTACAAAACATGATCAGTGTATCTGAACCTCATGAATAAAAAAAGCAGGCATTGGCAGACTTTTATTTTAAACATTCTTCCTACTGACCAGGTTCAATGTAAGGAAATGAACACATCTTCTCACATCAACACTAAACTTAATTGAGACACAGCATTGAAAAGTGTTTCATTTTTTTTTTTTAGCAGAGTTGGCCCAAAGTTGTATAGGTTCTAAAGCAGCATCTGATTTTGGGAGGGTTTTCCTGTTAAGAACATTAGCAACACTAACAGCGTTTTAATACAGATCTGGAGGAATCTGGGAGAAGAGGCCGAGTTTAACTGGCTGAGCTTAAAAGCAATCACGGATAATGGTCAGTTTGATGAGATGTATTTGTGAACAAACCAAGCTGAAACACACAGAAAATATTAAACTCATGGGAGACTGTAAATATGTGAAAATTAAAAAAAAAAACAAGTTTGCACTTTTACAGTAAAAACCAGCCAATTCCTTTAAATACTGAGACTAAATTTTAAACAATTAAAAATGTTTAATTAATTTATACTAGAACCATAAACTCAAAAATTATTGTCAATTAACAAATAAAATGTTTTTAGTTTTTTAACTATGATAAAATGCAAGTATTAAAAAGGAGTCCATTGATCATTTGGATACTCTAAACAGCATCTTAGTTTGCTTGACCCTTAGGAGTGAACAACCGATTTGTTTGTGACTCAGCAGGATCTGTTGTTATGAGGTCACATTGTAGAGGGATGAGACAGGAAGACAACGTGACAAATGATACAAATTTAACAATTACTAAATAAATCAATGGGTTGAATAGTTCATTGTGTCTGCAGTGGAGTGTTGGTCCAACAAAAAAAAAAAAAAATAGAGGCTTCAAATCAATTTAAGTTTAAATCTGAACTATTTTTTTCTTCATATTAATCAACATTTTGATTGTGTTCTTCAAAGATTAATCACGTCCTCGTAAAATTATGTGGATATTAAATGTTCAAATACATTGACGCAAAAACAATTTAATTGGTAGTTAACTGGTTTACGTCACACTATCTTTAAAAGGTATATGGAGAAAAAAATGGTGTATTTTAATACCGTTCAGAAAAGGGCTGTGCATATGAGTAAGAGGGTTCACACACATGTTTGCAACTGAGTGTGTCCGAGTGTGTAATACGGGTGTAAATTGGTAGCTTCATTCTCCACGAGATCTGATCCCTCCCACCTGTCAGAGAAGCTAATTATATTCACTTCGGAGTGCAGGCTGCACAGTGCGTGTGTGTGCCTGTGTGTGTAGGGGAGAGATCGATTTTCCAGGAACATTGTGGACTCTGGGTCCACTCCCTCTGGAGAGTTTGGGGGGCCCCAGGACTGCTATCAGAGCCCCTCTCACCACCCTCACACCCATGTTTTTGCCCCCCTCTGGGAGACAGGGCGGCCGCGGATCAGTTCGCTGTCAAATGTTTCTCCGGATCATCTTATAGGCCTGTGGTTTTGACTCAACATTTCACTAAACAAATCATTGCTGCTGCAGGTGTCAGAGATGATAATCATGCTCTGTTTGGTTCAGACGTCACTACTGAACCCACTGAAGGCTCAGATGTTGCGAATCATTTTATGGCTTTGGCTAAAGACTTTTCTATAAATAATTTTAAAAACGTACTGGTGATATTGTAGTAGACCTAACGGAAGAGGTATATGGTTGCAAACTTCTCAGCCAATCGCAGATCTGTGCAACCAAATCTTGAAATGAGCATCAGCTGCTGAAACATTGTAGCTGCAGGACTGATATGTCATGCCACAAAGAGTTTTTTTTTTAATGTGAAAATTCAAGGATGTAAACTTTGTTTATTTTTGGTAGGCTAAAAAAAACAATTAAAATTATACCTATTTACTCTGAAACATAAAATACATTTCAAAATCCTTAGATTTTTCTTTTTTTAATGTAAATTTGAATTACAAACATGTAATCAGATCTACTGTGTGGCTCTCATTATAAAATATTAACAGCAGAAATCACGATGGTGCAGATTTTAGCTGAAAGCTTATTTTTCTTTTGGAGTTATTAAGGTTGTAATAACTGCCATTTTACATTATTTTTTGCTTTCTTCCCACGGTCTCCTGGGGGAGCTACTGTGTTTTATTTGTGTCTTTTTTCTGCCATCTCAACCTCTGAATAGCCACCTGTCTCCACTGACTGAGAGTTGAGATGGGAGAAAGGAGATATACAGATAAAACACAATGGCTCCCCCAGGAATCTATTGGAATAATAAAAAAAATATTTCAACAATAACCTGCATTATTGTAATTGACCTCCAGAAAAAACCTGGCTTCATATTTATGTTGTTAGCTAAAACCTTCCTTTTACCAGCAAAAAAACCAAACAACAACAAAAAAAGCCCCGTTAAGAATAATGTCTTACAATGTTGAGTTGAAAGTACTAAAACAGTCATATGTTCTCCAGAGATACCTAATCGTTACAAAGCTGTTAAATCGCATCATTCCGCTCCTAAAGTTGACACGTGTTCCTGGTGCTGCTCATGATTAAACTCACAATTACGCGCAGTCACAAGTATAGTTCTCTGAGCGCCGATGGCATGTCTGCCGGTCCACTGTGGTGGTTGAAATGTTATTGTAGTTTGCAGTCACGTAAATCACTGACCAAACAACAAATCCAGTCTCCTGTCAATCAAATCCGCTGTGTGCAATGGCACGACTATGCTATGCCTGAAGTGAATACAAAAAATGGAAAGATCTGCTCATGGAGATGAGTCTGACTGGGGCAGAACTGGTCAAAGCTGCTCCAGAAGAAAAGCAGCTTTAATAAAAAGGATACCAACAAGTGAGGCACTGTTGCTTTCATTGTAATCTGGGATTTTTAAATGTGGAATCATTATCCAGGTTTTTAATAAGGTTTCAGATGCCTAAACAAAAAAAGAAAAAGATTTCTTTTTGTGTGGGGGACTGTGATGGGTTAAACCTGAAGCAGCATGACAAACGGAAAGTGTCTTAGTCCACTATCCACAGCTCCATACATCTTCATTTTCATAAAAAGACAGAGCAAGGGGGACGGAGGAAATGGGAGGAAAAAAGCTAAAGTGAACAGAACATCTTTATTCCACACCAAGTTAACAATTTTCCACTTGATTTAAGGAATGCTGGGATGTCTCTGGGGCCTATTAGAGGGCTCTCTGCTGGGCCAAAACCAGGAAGAGTCAGCACATTCGCTAAAGAAAAGAGAGAGGGAGTGATAGAAGCAAGGCAGAAAACGAGAAGGAGGGAGGTTGAGAGATGGCGAAGACAGTAAAATAAAAAAGGGACCTCACATGCATTTACAACTCAGGCATTTAGCCAACACTCATTGAGGGCTGTTCATCCAGAGTAGCTGGAACAATAAATGAGCTCAGATTGATACATTATCACATCTACAAAAGTGAAACACAGAAAAATGGGGGTTCATTGTGTCACTGCACCGCAGGCTGTGATCAGAGTCAAAGTAGCATCGTTTAAATTCATTGAAATGAATCCATGTTTGATGTAGTCGACGTGTCAGAGCAGAGAACAGAAAGAAAAACTGTTGTGCAGTACTGCTGCCAAAAGTGAAACTCAGCTTCGGTTTTACTGCACTTTCAAAGGATATCAAACACTGGGCAGCATGCGGTTTAATTTAGTATTCTTAATGGATTTAGCTGCCAATTACAAAATGCTCCCTTTAAACTCAGTTAAGATAACATTGATACAATAACAAGCCCGTTAGAACTTCCACCAGTTCTGAGCATGATGACATCTTAGGGTTGATCCATTGCTGTCCTGTACCTGAAAGCTGAAAGTAGTGAAATATGTAGCATTGTCAAGAGCAATATGACAGACTGCATTCGAGCTGAAAGCGGCTTTCAGAGCAACCTGGCCTTCCCACACATACCAGCAGAGCCACTGACTGATCACCTCTATGCCTATGCCACGCTGCAGTAATGTAGTAGTAATTCATGCAAAAAGAAAAGCCCTGGCCAAGTACTAAGTGCATCTTCAGTACAGTACATGTACATATCTTTTAGTAGGTAAATATTTCTGCGTTAAAAATCTCTTTTTTATTAAGCTCATGTAAAATTCTAATTTTCTGGGAAAACAACTTAAAATATATGTACATGCCTATTGATTGTCTGTAATAAATCTATACTATTATTACTTTTAACAAATTATGCAAACAGATAAATCTTTATATGATATTCTTTTATGTTATTAAAGAGGGTGAGGGGTGTGTATTTCACAGGCACATAGTGCCATTTTATAACACAGTCAGGTACCTGTGTTACCTTAAGTTTGCGCCATGTGGAGACTGCAGCTTCCAGGTGGAGTTTGGGTAAACAGGGAAAATGATTTGCATGAGTAAGCATTAAGGCACCCCTGAATGGCTGTCAGAAGAGATTAAAGGATTTCTCAAAAATCTAAGTAAGACGACAGGCATGTGTTTGATGAGGGAATAACAAGCTCAAAAAAGTAAATTTTCCATAATACCTACTCTTTAAGATTCATCTTTAGAACATGATTGATGTAATGTATTAATGGCCAACCTTCTGGACTGGTTTCCAACTTCCTTAACTTTGAAGCTCTGCCTTAGTGACATTTGGCTTCATGATCATTTCTCTGACCAAGGCTCTTCTTCCCTGAGTAATCAGCCTGATTGGGCAGCCAGATCCAGGGAGGATTTCCAAACTTCTTACATTTCCAAATAATGGAAACTACAGGGATTTATGGGCACACAGAGCATAATTGTGCTTTAAAACAATCAGATTTCAAAACACTACAGATAATTGCTTAGACTTCATTGTTTTACTTCTACTCCAACATAGACTCTGAGAACAGATAAATTAGTTCTGCATTTAGCAGAAATGGACTCTAAACAAGTGACAAAAACATCTGGATGATGATCATTGAAAACAAGATTGAGATGTGCTTGATTTTGAGAGTTAAAGCAATGGGTGTAAATACTTATAAACTAGTTATTTTTAATGTTTCAGCAAAACACAAAGCATAAAACACACCGTTTCACTTTGCTTAGACTTATTCTGAAACTCAAATCAATTTTAGAAAAAGTGAAAACCAACAAAATCTGAAAAGAGTGAAGCACTGAATGCTTTCAGGCTGCATTGTACTTAGAAAAAAAATACAAAGCTCTTTTACTCATTTTACTCTGGTTGGAGGAAAAGTGCAAAAAACATTATTCTGCTGACTCTGTACTATAAAAAGCATGTCAGAGATCTCTTTTAAAGACTATTAAATGATTTATATCAATTGTTTAAAATCAAATATAAACTAAACAACCTGAGAGTGGTGAGTGACACCTGATCTGATGTAATCAATAACTCCTGTTTCCAACCATCTTAACAGAAAGAAATTTGGCAAAACAAAGCTTGAATTAAGGGGACCACATGAGAAAACCTCAGAAACTGTAAAGTAAAAGTCAAATCATTGCAGAAGAGAGTTTAGGGAGATCTGGTCACCATGGAGGATGAGACAAAGCCAGAATGAGGCAGGATGAAAAAGACGGAGGGGGAGAAGGTATGAAGCCGAAGAGCAGACTTAACCCCTGAGCTGCTGCAGTGTCTGCCTGCCCGGATCAGAGTGCCATCCTCAGCAGTTTTCCCATCTATAATTACTGCCTGCTATCCATCATGCAGCCCCCAGTGGCTCACAGCGAAGCGCTCCGTAAACACACACACAGAAGCACTCAGGCACAAACACACACAGGGGAAAATCACAGAGCTAAGCACTTCAGCTAATAGAATAAATATTAATATCCCTTTTGTTTTCTATACCCTCATTTCCCCACGCACCATTTAAATGAGGCCTGACAGTGTGAAAAAGCATCTGTTTCACACTCAAAGATGAGCAGTGAGGGAAGACAGAAGAGGGAGACAAAGTGAGGTAAAAGCTCAGGAGGGGGAGGAGCAGAGGGGATGTTTGAGAAGGACAGGGGGATGCTGTGTATGTGGGTATGAGAGAGAGTGTGTGAGGGACGGCATGAGCATCTCGAGTTATGTGTAAGTGGCTTTCTGTTACCCATCAGGCCCTCAATATGTCACTCAGACACTACAGTCATGCCATTATGGACCAGCACCCCTGCAGCTGTTGCTGCCAGTGTGTCTGCGTGTACATGTATGTGTGTGTGTGTTGAGAGCGTGTTGGTTACCAAACCACTTGTTTACCTAAGCCTCAGTTTAACTTCAGTGGAACCTTATACATGTTACACAATAAACCTGCATGTTCATGTGAAGAGCACAGCTTAAAGGAAGAACTCTGAAGTAACGCAATATCATACAATCGGATGTCAAGAAAATTTGAAAATCTGAATATGCAATTAACTTCACTACTTAATTTAACATGACTTGGAAAAAACAACAACATCAACAACAACGTTTGCACCAGTTATCACTTGATGAAAACAAAAATTTAAGCAAAAATATAAAATTTCATAAAATGTGTATGCAAGAATATCTTCAGCCAAAACCGAGCTTTACAAAAACTATGACCTATGGATATTTTTATAATCAGTCTTATTTGGCACACCAGGACTCCTTTGTGTCATGTGGTTATCAATAAATCGGGGCAAAAAAGATCACACAATTTTGTCAAATAGTCATTATCAAAAACTTGTGACATTTTTGTCAATATAAAGAGTTTTTACCTTCTCTCCTTCTGGACAGTAGCCTTTGACAAAGTCATCACACACTTCAGCTTTACGGGACACATAAACGTGGCTGTAGGGACAGTCACTGTTGTTACAGATGCCCTTCAAAAAGTAGGAACACACCGGCATCTGAGGAGATCGGAGATCTGAAGTCAGCAAACTCAAACCGAGACAGGATGAGAAAAATACCACAAAATTTAAGATGATTTCATCTGATCTTGCAACAGTATTCATACCCTTTCAACTTTTTCTTTTCAAACATTTTGTCATGTTACAGCACCTCTACCAGCTTTAAAAAACTGGTAGAGCTGCCTATTTTTTCTTGAAAACTAGTTTTACCTCATTTAGACAAGACATCAGTTTTTAAATCCTCAAAAGGATTTAGATCTGGACATTTACAAGGCAATTCTAACACGTGCAGCTCTGTAGCTCTGGCTGAATGTTTAAGACATCGTCCAACTGGAAGATGAGCCTCAAGTTTTTTGCTGCCGCTAACCAGTTTTCTTCCATGATTACAGCTTATTCCATCCATTTTCCCATTGACTCAGTTCAAATTGCCTGTCATTTTATAAAACAAACAACAACAAAAACCATCTGCAAAGCAAGGTTGATTTAAAGGTAGTTTGCATGTGTAAACTACCTTTTAACAGTTTTAATCCACAAATAACATTTTCCACATATGCAACACTAAAAAAAACAACACAAAAAAAACCCCAAAAAGAAAAACCCTGTTAATTATTATCTAACTTTTTTTCTGGTCACTAAATCCCTTTGTAGAGTGCACAAGTATTAAATATCCTCCCACATTAGCTAAGTACCTCTGCAGCTCCTCCAAAGATACCATGGACCTTCTGACTGCTTCTCTAATTATTGATCTCCTTGTCAGTTTCGGTGAACATTCATGTCTTGACATATTTGCAGTTGTCTTATAATATTCCCACTTTTGCATGATGGATTTACTATTGATATCATATTAAAAAGAGTGAAATATAAAGCTTGGATTTTTTGTGTTAAAAGTGAGAACATTTTTAATGCATATTATTGTTGTCAGTTTTTTTTTAAATAATTTTAAGTAAAGTACAAAAAAGTTTGTGGTTGTTACAGGACACCAGGCACTTTTTGCAGGCCAGTGTATTTTAAACCTTTTTAACTAAGGGGCTGGTGAAAAATAAACATTTTTGAACTAAATGCTTGTCATCTTGTTTGCTGTGATTTTCTAAATAATTTTAATGAAGATGGAAGAGGAACATTGACATGGAGACTGAGAAACCCGACACGTCGAGGATGAGATTGAATGACTCTGTAAACATACATGCTATTCTGAAGCCACACCGCCGTCCGGTTCTCTTCAGAGGAATCCCGTGCACCAGCCGATCTGTCACACTGAGCAGCTAAATGACCTTAATTGCAGCTGACAGGAGTAGAGGGAAAGTGGATGTGCATCTTGACAGCATGTGTGTCTGTGTGCAGAGAGATGTCCTGTTTGACATGCAGGGGGGAGCCTGCTCTAAATTTACCACAGAGAGAGTTCAGTAGAGAGAGAGATGGGTGTGAGAGAGGCTCCACCTCGCTGAGATGGGATCTCTTCTGCCTAATTAACTGCTACAGAAATATTTATCCAGGCTGCAGCACGGCCATCTCTCATGATGTGTTTATGTGCCCTTGATGTGAGCGCAACCCAGGGCCAGGGGTGGCGTTCCTGGCTACGGGGGTGCCAGGGGAGTTGGCTGCCGTGTCTCTGGTTTCCAAGTATTTGTGGTAGCTGGAATGGCGGTGGGCAGGATTCGGGATAAGGGCTTGTATATCCACACCAGTGCCTGGATCAAGTTTGGAGAGGTAGAGGATGCATCACCCTAGAGCCCCCCCCAACCCATTTAAATGTGTTCGGTCCAACTTAGGGCTCTGCATGAAATAGGAGCGGGTGTATCCCCTGGAGGGAGGGAACCAGCTTTTGGAGGTGAGGGGGTATTGCAAACAGACAGCTGGGCTCTCAGCATGTACCGACAGCGGGCTGATGACCAGCACAGGTGTGATGCATTGTGGGACTGTGTGTGAGAAGGGTGAGGCAACAGAGCACCTGTTGTAGGCTTGTTTGTCAATACAAAGAAAGCTTTCACTCTTTTTGAGTTTAAACACAAAGATGACATTGAAAAACACTCATGCTCCTATAAATCAACAGATTCAGTTGTCTGGTACACTCTCAGTTGGGCTGTTTATATACATACACACATATATATATATATATATATATATATATATATATATATATATATATATATATATATATATATATATATATATATATATTTTTTTTTATTTTTTTTTTCATTATTTTTGAAAAATAAGGAAAAATTACTGATTGGACACAACTTTATAATACTGTACAGACTAATTGGCAGCAACAAATGCATTTCTATGGCCATTGCTGTTGTCTTTTCATGTTTTTTACCATACACCAAAATGCTTCAGATTAGCAGTCTGAAAAAATTCAGACTTTACTAACAGTTAGTGACGATCAATTAATTCAGTACATTTGAATAGGTACTTTCACGTTTTAATTCTGAATGAGCAGAGGTGGAATACCTTCGACAGTTTTTCCACTTTATCTTTTGTGTAAACTTTTCTCAAATAAACTTATATGAAGGGAACATTTGTTAGAAATAAAATAGTGAAATATTTACGAATATCTTGTATAGTGTTTAGTGACTACTTCAAGTTTAATTGATGGCATTAAGTTTGTTTGACCATAAAATGATGGAACTGTTCACACACCAATATTCAGATGATTTGTTCAGCACTCCACCTGCTGATTAGAGGTGTGAAATGTGTGTGATCACAGCTCTGATTTAAAGATTGTTCACCATGTGACAACACAGTATATAAAAGAAAAAAAATAAAAGTATGTCTATGAGTAAAAACTGTTCTGATAGTTTTTACTATCAGAACAGGACAAAGGATGTTCTCAGTTTATCCAATATATGCAGCTCCAGCCCACCACTAGGTCATGTCTTCCTAACTCCACTCCATCCATGGGAACAGGAGCCATGCCAAGACAACAAATATGATCCACGACTACGTTTTCCAGCAGCTTGTCATCTTATACAGTCACAGCATTTCAAAGCCAGGCCTCTGCCATGAAAAGCTATAAAACACTAAGTTGTCTAACATGTAGGCTGTGATGCAGGTATATACATTACCTTCTCTTTGGCAACCTTATGGGAGAATGGGCAGGCGCCATCTGCCTGCTTGCATGTCCCTCTGAGAAATCTGAAAGGAAAAAATAACTAAAAGTTTTTAAAAAGAAAAGCTAGGATGTAATGAGCTAGAAGGAGCTAATTTTTTAAAATATTTTAGCCAAGATGACTCATCACTTTCTTTACCATGAAAAAACTATTACACTTTATTTTTCTCCAGTAATCCAGTGCCAGTCTCAAACTATTACAACTACAGGGTTTTTCAAGACCAGTCAGATATAGTCTCAAAGGTAATTTCATACTAAGCTTAAATATCTGCTTACAGACCTCAACACAGGCTAATGACTCCAGAGAGGAAGGGGAAAAAAAACTAGGTCAAGATAAAGGAAGCCGATTTTAAAAACTGGGCTTGAACATCTAAGTTTGATCATTCATTTACAAATCACATCATCTATTCTTCCACTAAACTTTAACCCAGATTATGCTTCAGACATTATATAATTTGTCTGAAGCATGAAAAAACATAACTTGTTCCACTTGTGCTACACATTTTACTACACAATATATGTGTCACATGTGAAGCACATTACTCCATAATGTAATGAACACAGATGAGGTACACAGTAAAACATTTCACATATTAAAGGTTTCTTCATTTGTGTTAAGTATGGTATAATTTACAGGTGCAATGTGTTACCACACAATATCACAGTCACTTAAAACGTGGTAAAACTTTGAAAAGGTTTTAAACAGGCTTCAATTTATCCCAAAGGTTTTAGATGAGCTACATAAGTAGCTCCTAGATTTGCATATTCAGCAATTTCTCAATCATGAGACAACAGCAAGTCTGACTGTATTAAACATATTTCCTATGTGCAAAACATTCGCTTACTGTATGTTCCATACATGTGATTTAACATTTCAAATGTCACATGAGATTAAACACATTCACATATTTAACTGGGTCCATTGAGTTAAATAATTGAGGCAAATTATGTCTTAATTATTTAACTCTGTTCAGAAAATTTCACTTCAATTGAGAAAATTTAAACCTTACATTGTGGATTTTATTATTCAGGGACATTTTCCTTCCATTTCTATTTGTCCTCAAGAGAACCTATTTGTTCTCTGTTCGCAGTTGATAAAAAAATACAAAAGAACTTAAGTGCAAGTTTTAAAAGGTAAAGTTGAAATTGGAGTTGTGTCTGTTTTGTTGTTCTTGTACATGAAGGTTACCTTGTGCAGACAGCCACTTTGTCAGGATCATGTATGAAGGGACAACTTGTGCCACGGTTACACTTGCCAAAGCGGTTGTAATACATGCAGTACTGCTTTTGTTGCTTTTTCTGTCGAGCGTGTCTGATGATGGCAATGCTCCGCTGGACAGCACGACTAGAGATGGACAAAGCACAACAATCCACAACAAACATTAGGTCTGAGGTAAGATAGGAAACTTTTCAGCAGAGTTAATGTTTCAGTTCTGGACCATTTGAGTGTTTCTGGGTAAAAGTGTTCTCAATATACTAATTTTAAAGGATTACTTCTGGACTCATAGTCCGGAGCTGATGGCGATGAAAGGCACTTAATACTGTGGGAGAGTGAGGAGGATCAAATGCAAACATGCTGGCTGGATTTAGTTTCATGAACGTGCTGTCATTTTAAGAGCGCTTGCAGGATGACCCATATTTAACTGTGGATCATTTAAAACTTTGATAAACTTTTTTGCAAGAGTAATTAAAATGGTCCTGCAGTGGTACGTAAGAGGATATAAACTATTACCTGGCTAAATGACGGGCCAGGGCCGGAGACGTGTGTGCACTGGAGGACTTTCCTGAGGAGGAAGGAGGAAAAGATATTAATAATTCAAAATCGTATGTTTATGGTTTCACCCAAAACACAAAAAATATCATCAATGAGTTCTGGCAATATTAGTAGAAACACAAGAAATATGCAGATTTGTGCTGTTACACTTTGCAGAGATTAGAAAGATGAACACAACATGTTGAATAATGTCACGTATAAATGTTGGTTCAAATAAATTCCTGTAGAATGTTCTACCACAATAAATACTAAAAAAAAATATTTGATTTACTAACAGCCTTGAGAATTCAGCATGTGACCCGTTAAAGCATGAACAGTCGGCATAAACCTGATCCAGAATTTACAACTGGCTAGTTGTAAATTCTAGTGCACATTCATGAATGATGCACATTCATGAACTCCTTCAAATTGAAATATGCTGTGAAATGTTAGCACAATATTACAAGCAAGTACATCCACATGGTGATAAAAGCATGGCTGCATATTCGAATGAGCCCAAAAGAAGTCAAAGGTTTTTATCCATTAGTTATCCCCGAGTAGCTTTCTTGTTTTAGGTTTAATCTAAAAGATAAAAACTACTCTCTATACCAGATGTGACACAAATTAAGCCTCCACTGTTTGCGCATGTGTGTGTGGACACATGCAATAAGAACCTGAGAAGTGACAGGATATTTATACTGTGGTGGATTGACACATTGAAGCCAAGACAAATCGTGACGTCCCTTTTTGGTGTGAGGACATCAGAAATAGCCAATGGATGAAAAGGTGTGTCAAAGTTGGAGGAGGCTATGAAAGGGTGAGGATGTTAAGGGTGCAGTTTATCTTGATCATGATGCTAAATTTGGAACTTTCTGGCTCACAATGCTCTCCTCAAGGATCAGTCATTTGGCGTTGCTCAGAACAGAGGGTGGAGAGCTTTTCAAGATGTGAAATCAGAGCTCCTGCTGGACAGAAACCTGATGCATGTTTCTGGAGGATGCAGAAACAGCGTGAAAAAGCATGTTGGGATGCCAGTCACGAGTTGAAAAGAACACAGGCTCTTCAATTTCACCTGCAGGTTTAGTTGCACAGGAATGTGTGAAAGAGAGGCAGGAAAGGGAAGTGGGAAGAGGCCGATCAGGGCTTTAATCTACACCAGCCACTTCTCCAGGCCCTCCCCCTGGCCGCTCTGACAGATGACAACTTTATTATTTCAGATGGCAAATCCAGCCTGCTCCCCTAAGTCTATTAGGAAGTATGTGGACGGAGTTCCAGCCACAAACATGAGTAAACACTGCTGTATCGCCTCAGGATGTACACACGCTTACAGTCATGGACCACCGGCAGCAGTCCTCAACAGAACTGGCTGTAAAACCCAAACAGTCTGTAATTTTAATACCAGCTGAAATGTGTCCACATCGCTGAATGAAAAAAGCTAAAAACCAAAAAGAAGCCTGAACAGCAGGTAAGATTTGTGGTCCAGTTCACTTATTATTCTCTCAGACCACTCCTGATTGAGAGCCAAACTCTTAAGTTAAAACCACAGTAGTTGTTAATGTATAATGACTACTGTGTATATATATATATATATATATATATATATATATATATATATATATATATATATATATATATATATATATATATATAGACACACAAGATTTAATTAGTGCAAATAAGAATGGTATTGATCTGGGTACTATCACTGTTAAGTGATCATCAGGGATGATCAACCTAAAGGTAAAAGTCTACACAGTTTGTATCCAGGATGTGTGGGGTCACCAGAGATGTTAGCAGCCCATTTCCAGACTCTAGGCCTGGACCAGGACAGACTGAATAATGGAAGCCTCTTACATCAGTTTTTGATGTAAGCAGAGAAGAAAAACTGAATGATTATGAGCTGGAACACCTCATCACAGCTCAGGAAGTTGGTGGAATCTGTGCAGCACAGAAGTGAAGCAGTTGTCAGAAGTAGTAGTAAGTTCAGTGAGTCAGAAAAAAATTCTACATCTTCAATTAATTCAGAGTTTGTACAAAAGATATTTGAGTTTATATTGGAATAAAATGCTGATACAGATTTTTTTAGCAGTTATTATTCTCTCTGTTTCTGTGGAATGGTAACACATTTGAGAACTTGTTTCCTCATCTTTTGATTTGGAATAGAGTTTCCAACAAAATAAATTAAAGAATGTTGAGCTTTAAGCAGGCCTCTATTATGTTAGCCACAATTCATATTTGAGACTCCTGACCACCTGTACCTCTCCGGTCGATCGATGTTTGTAATGCCACCGTGCGGGACAGCTTATTGGCAGAGACCCGGTACAGCGAGCCTCGGATCCAGCACATCTCCATCCCTGTCCAGCGTCGGCTGGATGGTTGGTGCCTGTCGTGAGGAGATCGTAGGCGGTTCTGAAGGAAAGTCCTGAGAGAAAGGAAGTTTGGTCAGATTTGAAGTGAGGCTTTTATATGATAACAGTGATCAGTTTAGTTTTAGTTAAACTGTTTAAAGTGCTCAGATCAGACTGTTTGAATCAGAATATTATCAGCTCATCCCTCTGTTAATTCCACACCACTTCCACCCTCCAGTTCTTCCACAATACCTCCCCTATTCACTTTATGTTTCCCATCCTGTAGTCGCCCCCTCCCCTCTTCCTCCCATGTCACAGCACTCTGTTAAATTGCTCCTCTAATGGAAAGGACGGCAGTGTGGAAATGGAGAGAATTGAAAAGAGGAGAGGAGGAAATCAATGAGATAATAGGCAGGGCAGGGGGCCAGAGCAGCGAGGTTGGCCCCTACACTGGAGTGTACAGACCATACACACAGACACACACACTCCTGCTACAGTATGTACAATGCACACAATCACAGCTCTCTGCATCCAGGATCCAGTCAGTGGGCTGCTGCATGTGTACGGAGGTTGGACATGGAGGCTGCTGGGTGGTGGTGGGGCGGTGCAGGGGTTATGGCGATAAATTGCGCTGTCCTGTCACTTCTATTTGGGGTGGATTGGGGCTGGTGTGCAGGGCGCCGCTGGTGGTAATTTGCTGCCGTATTTCAGATGGGCTGGAAATGGGTTTAGAGCGAGAGTTCATGCCTCCCATTACAGAGAAAAGAGAGGGTTACCCCGAACACACGGCTTGCACAAAACAACCTGCATGGACGTTTGACGCGTGCAGGGCTGCTGTACTGTTGCAAATAACAGGGGAAAAAGTAAATATCAACTCTCAGCTGCGTTCACGTCCATGAAGCACCTGAGCGTGAGCCATAACTCAGCAGCACAGACACTTGGTTTCACTGCTACAAGATCAGTGGCTGCCCTACACGGGGCAAATGCAGCCAGGGGAGCCGTAATGGGGGCTAATGTTGAAGCTCTGACTGCCACCCAGGGAGGCTTAAACAAGAACAGGGTGGCCCCCACAACTACAATGGAGGTTAATGGGCATATGACATGAGTAGTTAACACAGACAGCAGTTAACCCTGACACAGGGCTACAGTCTGAGGGGGGCTCTGGGAAGGTTATTGCTCTCTGTATTAGAATGTTTATCCACTGACTTTGAATATCAGAGTGACAGAAATACTGAGTTCATTGCAGTTTGTGGTGTATTTATGCGCCATCAGGTTTCAGACAGATCATAGATAATTCCACACACGTTCCTCTTTAAATGTTCTCTGAGGCACCTTCTGAAAACAAGAATGTCATGTTGGGAGAACTCTCCTCTGCTTCCTTTTTCCATCACACAAACAGTTCCCCCTGATCACCAGCTGTTTATTGTTACAGTTCATTGAAACTGCAGTGACTGTGTATGAGCAGATGTTGAACTGGGGAACTCTAGGACGTATGAACAGAAAATGGATGGGAAACGAAGGATGGACAGATGAATGAATGAGCTATGGATAGATAAATGGGTGTATGTATGTATATATGTATGTATGTATGTATGGATGGATGGATGGATGGATGGGTGGCTGGACGGAACTCTAATCTTCTTTCATCCAGTTTTCAGAGACCTTGTTGGAAAGAGACACTAGTATTGTGGTGCATTCACGATCCATTGCTGCATACATGATGCTGTTGCACTCAGAAAACCAATCATGGTCCAGAATGTTTTCAGGTCAGCTTTAGATATTCATAGTCATGGTTGAAAACTGCTGAGGTAGAAATATGTATAATTATAATAGAATATAATAATTCAGTTATACTAATGTAATAGAATAAAGTAGGGAATTTGTTCTTTGAACAGACACATAAAATTGATTAGGAAATAAACGACAAAGCATAAAAGGAGAAGTACTTGGAACTCAGAGTTACAGCTTAACTAAAGAGAAAAATGTCTGTCAAGGCACCCAGCACAACGACATAATTTCAAAAGCATGCATAGTAAATTTTCCCCCAGGGAATAGAAGCACTTTAACACTACACTTCCCACAATTCAGTGCAGCAATAGGAGCTCATTAAAGTGGAAATGAGATCAACACTTTCAACAAAATATTTTCAGTTGTTTCAGTAGTAAAAGAGAATAAATTACAAAAGTATCAACAGTGCATATACCAACTAAATTTTCTATCTTCTACAAGCTAGAAAATTCATGCAAAAGGATGCACTTACAAGATAAAAGGAAATCAGCGTGAATGATAAAGTTAGGATGTAGTTTTTTCTGTTTCATTGCATTTTACAAAATTAGCAGAGAAACATCTGGAATAAAAAGTTGTATTCTAAATTCAATGTGACTAGTAAAAATAATCATTAAGTTTTGTTTTAGCTGGGTTTCGCATATGTTTTACAGTGACTGCTCTATAAAACAACACTATATAATCTCTGCTCCTATTAGAAATAAGGATGATCAATCATGGGAGAAAAAATTTAACAATGCACTGAATGGCCCCCCAAAAAACTAAAAAGATCCATCAGAAAAAGGTTGCGCTCAGCGGACTGCCTTCAGTTTTGATTAACACAGGTTGATGCCTTTGGTTTGATAAGCTTCTGTAATGTCACAAAATTTACATCCATCCAATGTCGCATATATTTTTCACCAAGATTATGTATTGATGATAGGAGAGTCTGGCTGCTGTGCAAAGCCTTCTCAAGTCCATCAAAGAGATTGTGTTAGGTCTGGACCGTGGTGGTCGAGTCGTGTGAAAATGATATCCCACACTCGCTGAACTATTCTCACACAACATGAGGCTAATGAATCCTGGCATTGTCATGGAAATATGTCTGTGACATTATAAAGGAAATCCATTAATGGGATATGCAGGTCATTAAGAATATTCAGGTAGTCATGACTTCACTCCTCAGTCTGGGCAGATAATGTTGCTGAACCTTTGCCTGACCAACTACAGCAATTATAGTAGTTTCTCCTTAGATATTTTCTCTGCTTGATGCAGAGAAAACCCACAAGATGACTCTCAAAATAAGAAGAAAAAAGAAGCAAATTATTGCATCAGCTGTGGTTAAATAACCTGTTTCCAGCTGTAAGATAATTGCTCACACAATAATTATCCAATATCCTATTGGCTTAGTAAAATTAGGTAACAACTTTTTTTGGGCATGTGGTGTATTTTGACTGGTGCTCTTAAACCTCTCTTTGTAAAACAGTTGATCCGAAAGTGATCATTCAGAATGGGTTGTTGGGTCAGACCTTACAAAAACGGATTGGAAATCATAAATAAAATTCTGATCAGGGCTTGGGTTTGTTTATTAGATCAGTTTATTGCATGATTAAACCACAAATAAAAGTTTGCATATATTTTTTGAGTAAATATATACTTCAAACATTGAAAAATAGAAACAAATCAGCATACATTACTTGTTATTACTTGACAGTGTCTTTTAAGTCTTAGGAATGTTTTTTAGGCCTTTGGTGAGATGTGTAATTTTGCATACCTAGCCACCTATAGGTGCGATAAAAAAAACAAAAACTGGAAGATGATGTCTGGAGGTCAAAGCAAAAGAACTTAAACTCATCAAAAACGAACAGTGAAAAATACAGAGGGAAAAAGGAAGAAACGGAGGACAGAAAGAAGGGCAAAAAGAAGCTCCCCTGAGACGAGTGTGTTTGTGTGGGCAGGTGTGCGTGTGAGTGTGCGGTCAGCTCGGACTGCACGATGCACAGATAAAGGAGAGCGCAATTCAGCACTACGGGTTGATGAATGATCTGACTTTTGTTTTAGTGACAGGGAAGAATTTGGAGGGTCGCGCGACTGCTCAGAATAATGCTGCCCTTGTCTATTTGTCTGCAACCCAAGCATTAGTGAGCTCATATTGGGAAACAGTTACCCTTGAAAGAAAGCACAGCAAAAACATTCACCTGGATAACTCTGAAGGCAAGAACTGCTGCTCCTGTCCAGGTGCCTAACAGACACCAAGACAGCAGAGAAAGACTTACCAGGAGTAGAGTGCGGTAAAAGGACCCTTCGGGGGAGAAAAAACATGGGACTGTAAGCGACAGACAAATGGCTAATGTGATAAGTAATGAGTAAATGAGTGAAGTGGGGGATAAAAGAGGATGTACAGGACTGGGAATGCGGGAAAAGGAGGAGAGAAGTGAAGAAGAGGGAGCACTGCTGCACTTTATTGCCCAGTCTCTTACATCCTGTGCTGATCGATACTGAAGCACTAAAGAAGATGAGCGTTTGGACCAGGAGTGTGTGTGTATGTTTGTGTGTCCACAGAAATACAGCATACACAATCTCTTAGAAACTATGCTTATGGAATCATTGCCACGTTGCAAACTTTGACACGAATGTGAGAAATAATGTGGAAAATGAGTGACAGAGGCTAAAACAAAGAAAAAAAAACATATAAAAAGGAGAAAAAAACAGAGATATAGTCCAAACAAAATGATGGAGCGTTAAAGACTGCATAAGAGGGGTGATTCAGGGGGGTGTGAGAGAGATGAAGAAAAGCCCGACTTGTAATTTATCCTCCAGAGTGCATGCTTTACGGCTTTCTTAATTCAACTCCTGATACTATTAATGGAGTTAATGTTGAGATTATATCTATTTTCTGGTGGCGGGGCCTGAAATACTGCAGTTAAGCCCACCCCCTTCCACTCTCCTCTTTCAGACTGCCACCCAGCAGTAAATCACCCCCTGGCTCCACCATCTTCTAAAACTGGGTAAGAGCATGGCATACTGGGTAGAGAGGCTCACTTCTGGAAATACTTAGGAATTTCAGAGGCTTTATTCACAGAAGAATTTGGACTTTTAAATTTTTCTAACAGTTTTCAACAGTTGTTTATTTTATTAGCCAGATGAAACAAAGCCTTATAGTGAATTTGACAATTATATTTTTATTATATGCATTTTTTGTTCAGCGTACAATTCAGCTTCACTTAAAAAGGAGACTTCTGTTGCTCTTTATAACTGGTAGGTGCTCACAAAAAGGAAGGATGTTCTTGTTGGTCTCAATGTATAACAATTCCCCAACATAACAGCTTAACAGAAAATAAAAAAAGGTGTCAATTCTAATAAAATAATTCCTATAGAGAGTACTCCTATATTCTTTCATGTAAAAAGAGAAACAAAGAAAGAAAGACAGAAACAAAGAAAGGAAAAATATTTAATAGCTGAAGTGCTATCCTTCATGTGAGTAAAAAAAATCACCTTGATAAGAAGGGTACTGTTTTCCCTACACTGAACATTGCAGACAGAATAGGCAAACTAAAGTTATAATGCTAAAGTTTTTTTAATACTTTTATGCATAATGTTATGCTTAAACTCCATCTTCACTTGTAAATTAATTTCTATCAATGTTCTTGTAGTGCCAACAATGAGATTGCAATTGTATTGCAGATGGATGGCAAACTATACATCTAGTTGATTTTAGGCTCCTTTCACACATAAATCAGTTTGGGTCAATAAAACATTACAAGTAGCTTGTTTGGTCTGCTGTTAATTTGCAAATTAATGGAGTTCCAAAGTGTTATTGTAGAAACCCGTTGCTGCAGAAGTTAAAAGTCTCATTAATTTTTCCCATAGTCAATGTGATCTGGCTATGAGTTGCCATATATTTCCTGAGAGGTTGATCAGCAGCAGACCAAGATACTCGCCTATCAGCTCAAATGATTTATAACTGCGTCTGAAAACATTTGGTCGACTCATTAAAGACAGTGGCATAATATCAATGCAGACATTAAAGATAGCTCTGAACCTTGGCAAGTAAGCTGGCAATACCTTACTTTTAAAATCTGCAACAACAGTGTCGCATTTTACCTGACTTGACTACATCCAAGGTCTGTGGATGTTGTTGCATTCTGACACTGGAACATAGATGGTTTCAGAAAAAGTCTGATTTGAAAGATGTGGCCAAAGACACAGTAATGGCACAGGGGCAAAGCATACATAGAGGCCTCAGTCCTCTGTCTGGCAGTCGCAGGTTTTAATCCTGGCCTGTTGATCGTTGCCAACCACCCACTTCCATATCCACTCAGCTAAATAAAGGTCACTAGAGCCAAAAAAATCCTTTAAAACATTTTTAAAGATATGAAGAAAATGAAGAATATGAAGACTGATGTTTTTAAACTAAAACAGCCATTCAGCCATTGGAGTTTCTTCCTGCTTGTTGTTTATCTGAGAAGCGTTACATGTAATGCTTCAAAGAACTGGGAGGACACGACCTTTAAGAGGCATTTATTATTAAAATGATGTGCAGGGGTAATGGGCGACAGCCCAGGAACCGCTGCACCGATCTTCGGACATGAACCTGCTGGCCCTCACAGGTCTCAGAGTCTGCTTCCAGGTCTGGTCAAGTGACACCTCCATTTTTGGTCCATTCGAACCACAGACTGGTTCCCACACAGTTTGTGGTTCGAGCGCTCTTCGCTCGTTCCATCCATGTCAACGGGCCCAGGTGGACATGTGACCTCCCATATCCAAGACCTTCCTTAAAAACAGTTAACAGGCCACAATGCAACACAGCAGAGGGCTGTCACAAGCAGGACAATCTATATGTAAAAACCACTGCCTTCTTTCTGCTTACTTTTGTACCAAGGGATGTGTAGTTCATGTTGGGTGAAGCGTAACATTCAGTTTAATGGCAAGAAAATTGCTAAATGACCTGTACAGGGCTTTATCTAGTTCAGAGGATTCTAGTCATTCACATGCTGATGGTGCTAAGCTACATTATAGCTGCAGCTGCTCTGGGACAGTCTGAAAAATGCAAAGTTGCCATACACCAACAGGCAAAGCGGGTAAACTGTCTTACCCAAAGACAACGACTGAGACAGAGTCGGGGGTTTGAACCAGCAACCATCTGGTTACAGAATGAACTCTGACCACCATCTCCACTGTCACCCCAAAGAAGTGTAAAGCACTAAGAAGAAAACTAAGCAACTTTAGCTAATCTTTTTGTCTGTATGAATAGAAGAGAAATTTCAAAGGTTGCATCTATACATGATCGATGACATGTATAGATGACCTACAGGTCAGCATAGGCGGTGTTCTTTATTCAGTTCAATAGGAGACAGAGCTCTGAAACACACTCAATACAAATAAATTTCAAATGATTTTCTATAAACTTTACATTGGAAAGTGTAAATGAAATCTCAAGTATTTTCTAACCAAAACCTTTGTGAATTGGAGGTTTAAACATTACATAAACATTTGTTTAAGAAAAAGGACCTTAGAGTAGGAGTGTAGCGACACAATAATCTCACAATACAATGTGATATGCAATATTCTAATTACAATATGATATGTATCATGATATTTGCCAAACGATACGATTCGATATGATTTGATGCACTTTTACGATTTTCTGAAAGATTTTAGAGGGGCAGAGTGATGTTAGTGACATTTTGTGTTCCACAGACTTGGATTTAATTAACTGAAAACTGATTAAAAGCACCAACTACAAAATACCTGACTGATTGGACAGAATCTAACAATCTACAGCTGGGGAAAATGAGTCAAAGATGCAGTGAGAAAACTTGTTTCTGTCATTTAATTCATGTGGATTTCACATAAAACTCAAAATTTCAACTGTGATCTGGGGAGATTATCAGCCTCTGTAGACTCTCAATATGCAAATGATTGCACTTATGTTTTTCTTTTGGACATATTGTGGTTGCATAAGCCTATGGACCCCTAGCAGATGAAAAATCCATACCTTCCAAGGGTGGAAAAAAAATCGATAAATATCGTAGAATTTATATAATTATACAGTTCTCCCTTAGAGGAAAAACAACTCTATGATTTTTGATGGGGGTTTGTTATGTGCTATACAATAGTTACAGCTATTAAGACACTGAAAACTATGTTGTCTTTAATCAAATCTGAAAAACATCTAGGATTTCTACAGATTCATGGTCGCAGTAAAGATTATTAGTTTCTTTACATAAATGACAAAATCAGATGTAAATCTACTTTAATATTTAACTAACAAAATAAAAAGTTCAGAGTCTCCAGTAAGGTCAAAACTATTTAGACCTTGTGTTAAGTTGCTGGTTAAGGCTGTTGTTTTTAGAGCAGCACATGCTTCAGCAATGAGCATCAACAGAGATAAGAGCTGAAGACCTATGTGGACCAGGATATGTAGGTGTGATAGGCCAAAGACAAAGAGTGGCACTCAATAGTTAAGAGCAAAGAATATGAGCTCATGCACCACTCAATAGCATCAAATTGATAAAAGGAGCTGCTGGTTTTTGGAATTCGACTGTTAGATAACCTTGAGACATTAACGAGTAAGAGGACCCCGTCCCAGAGGACCTGACCTGTCCCCCTCCATTCCTATCTCTCTCCTCAATTGTACACACATTGTGATATTTCACAGCATGTCAACGGGCTCAAATTGAAAATCCCTTGATGAATCAATATTTACTGCAGCAGCTAAATGAATAGTAATAAGTCACCAGAGAGGCTGCAGCCAGCCACGTTCCTGGCCTCTCTGTCTCACCAAATCTGGATTATACAAAATAATGACCCCTCTCCCACTTCCTCAATTCCTTCATCCCTTCAAAAATAAGGTTGGACAGAATAAAAAACAAATAAAAGTTAGTGAAAATGTACAGTTATAAACCTTTTTAAACAAAAATTAAAGATCCACAAGTTCTTATTTTGGGATATAACCTTTTCAAAAAACAAGAGCTGGAGAGAAGTTTTTCTTAAAACCTCATTTTGCAAGAACCTGGGAAATATTTGAATAGTCAATAAAAACAGTAATAAAAAAATTTCTACGAAATACCACAAAATTATTTTTACTGCGGGGCCAAAAAGTAAAAACTACATTATAATCCTTTCAATATTTTACTTGCCCTTTTCCTGTTTCTCTTCATAAACATGATGCCATGTTCTTTCTTCCACAGAGCTTGACAAGAAAACCTCCTTCAAGGTCTGGTGTGCCCAACTTTTTAAAAACCTTTCAGCTTTTACTCTATGGTTATTCAAAACCAATTATATTGTGCAATTTGTATTGTGTGTTTCTGGTCAGTTGAGATTAGATTTAAAGAAAATTGAAACCTGGTAAAGAAAAGACCATTGAGTTGTTGAAACCCTAACGCTGCCTTGGAAATTAGCAAGTTTTTTGATCCCATGACTTCTAGGAAAAATCCAAGAACTTAGCATATTCTTTGTGCTAAGTTGCTGGTCAAAGTTGTCATTTTCAGAGCAGCATGTGCTTCAGCGATGAGCAACTGCTCGGTTGCAATTATGCAATCCAATAGGAACTACTATTTATCAAAGTAAAATTTGCCTGTCTGTAAAAAACAAGGCTGAAGCAGACACTAAAACATGAGATTTTGCTTGCCTGAGGTCATCCAAGTATATTGAGGTATCCAGATCTGTGTGACTAAATGCACATCTGTAAATCCACTGAAAATGGGCTGAGAATGAAGAAATGTAAAATCCTGGGACAAGTCAAAGCCTAAACTTTGATCTCATTTAGCTATTGTGAAGGCTATTACAGACAATAGTAGTGGTATATCTGAAAGACTCCCAAGCATAAACATACATAACTCGCTGTTGGAAAAGAGTTGGACTTGAGCAAATAGTGATTTACATCAAGAAGAATGGCATAAGAGATAAAAGCTCTACTAACTGTTAAAGATAAGTGGTGCTGTAATGACTTACGGAGGAAGAGCCACCCATTGTGGTTGGAGCTTAGTGATGTCAACATTTTATTCTCTAATAATTTCCTTTCCTTTCCATGCTTCCGGCTGATGCCAGTGATTAAAAAAAAACTAATGTTATCATATATTACCTGGCTGACTGGATCTTCCTGGCTCGCCAGGAGAGCGCTGTGTTGTAGTGCAGCGTGTGTGCAGCACTTGTACCCGGACGGGTCACCATCTTGTAGCGGGTCCTAAACACCCGCTTGCAGGCAGGGCTTAGATGGGATGTGGAGACAGCATCTGTGAACAGTAGTAATTAGGAATGGATGAATCTGACCACACACAAAACAGAAGCTAAGGTAAATCTATCCAGTCAGCATATCAACAAATGCACATTCACGTAACTTCAAACATGCACACACACACACACACACACACACACACACACACACACACACACACACACACACACACACACGCACACACACACACACACGCACACACACACACACACCCCACACACACACACACACACACACACACACACACACACACACACACACACACACACACACACACACCACAGCACGCACGCACACACACACACACGCACACACGCACACACACACACACACACAGATACACGCAGGTTTGAAGACTCTGGCAGGTGTGCTCTTTAATAAGCTTCACATATAAAAATGAAAGGGAATAACAGAGGCAGAATTTTTATGAGTCTAATAAATCATGTGCTCTGTCTCTCTGTGCTGTGCCTTCATCCCTCCTGCCCAGCCTCCCTCCTTCCTTCTCACTTTAAGTCTCATTCGTTATATCTTTTTACAAATCCATCAGAGAAGACACACGAGACTAGAGCGATTGGAATGGGGAAAAAAAGAGGAGCGCTTGTGTTTTTATTTATTTATTTGTCTGCATATCCATCATGTTGTTTTATGAAGGCCTGGTTTGGATGACACTCCCACACAAAGAACTGAATTTACATTGTGGATAATCCGAGGTCCTGTTCACATCAGTTTACCAAGACTGAAGGCGTCGCAGGAACAGAGTGTGTCTACTCAAGTCTGAAATAAAACATGGGCAAGGTTTTATTCTTCGCAGTTGCCAAAGCTGTCTGCTGCATCTGGCAGTTGATGCTAAATACAAAACCCTGAGAAGTGGCCAACAACTTTTATTAACTCTTCAGGCAACAGAAAATGCTGAACTTTGTTCAAATAAAACAACAGGATTAGGATCCAATTTTTGCTGTAAGTTGCTTAAACTTTTAAAAAACTTAAAGTAAGTAGAGTTATCACCCCACTGACACTCTTTGAGTTATGTATTTAAAGCACACAAGCTAAGAGAAGAGCTCATCAGCATAATCACATCTAAATGGGTAAAAAAAAAATGTTTTGAATTGGTCATGTCATACTTACATTAAAGTCAATGTCATACTTAAATCCAGTCAAGATGATGTTGGATGACCTTAAAAAGGGCATTTGTAAAGTGAACTATTGTAGCTGAATTAAAACAATACTGCAAAGAAGATTGTAAAGACTCCTTGGTAGTTATCACAAACAGTTGATAATGGTAGCCATGAAGTGTCCCACAACCATTAATCAGGAGACAATTGCTTCTTCCCACAGAGCCAGACTGGTTTAACTGAAGAAAATATGAAATATCTTTGTGTTATTAATATAAGATTTTAAGTGGTATCAGTATATCACTAGCTCCACATTTTTATTAGAATAATCATACTGCCCAAAATGTCATCATGTGCACTTCTTCTAACCCTAACCCCCTGCCTCTATGGCAGAGACAGCACTCAGTCTTCCTAATGAGCGAAGCCCACAGCGCGGTCGGAGGAGTGAGAGGGATAACAGATGAGTTTATGTATCTGATGACAAGCTCACTTTGTATCATCTTTTTCGCGCAAGTCTTTAAAACCCACACCATTTTAATTAGTGTCCAATAACAAAGCATGAACTACAAAGCTGTGGTAGCAAACAATACAGTGATTTAAACTTTCACACCTTCTGCCTCCCCTCCCAGGTGTTAGGCTGCAACGCGGCCTCCCAGGCCGCGTTGCAGCCCTGGAAAAGTAGGAGACTCTAGGCAAACATTTAGCTCAGAACTAATCAGAGTTAGGAGAGCTGCTGAGACGTCTGCTGAAGAAAAGCGAAAGCTAACACATAAGCACATATGAAGCCTTTAAATTAACATGTGCATATATAACATAATGAAATCACTGTGAAACAGTACGTAATAGCACCCAGTCTTAAGTAGGTGAAATAAAAACCTGTTCTGAATTAAAGGCTAAACTTTGAGAAAGTAGATTGCTGAGCTATGCATTTTACAGCCATACAAAAGAAGAAAAAATAGTTATTACCATCACTTTTATCTTTATCACAGCACTCCCAAAAAATTTTCAGATACAATTTTAAGTCCATATCACCCACTCCAACATTTATTTTTTCAATATTGTAACTTTTAAAGATTGTAGGGACTCAGCAGTAAATTTCATTCTACAGATCATAAAGGTTAAAGGTTGAGTGCTGCGTTACCAAAGAAGAACACAGCAAAAGAGAGGACAGTAAAGAGAACAAGCGCAGTGGTGCTGATTTTTAGAGAGCTGCCCAGCTTGAAGTTACTTTTCTCCCAAGTCTGTATTGCAGTCAGTGTGATTTGCACACCCACTCAGATGACAAATAAGGCTTGTCAAAGGTGTTGCCATGATTCCCACCCCACAACCTTGTACATGCCCGTCCCTAACCAGGACCTTAATCCGTCTCTAAATCCTTGCTGCCAACAGCATGATGGTCACTATGTTTGGGATGCTGACACACAGCTGTTCCACCACGGCTGCTGTTTAATGGCACCTGGTGGTAGAGTTTGTCCTTTGATATATATTTGAGTGTGTGTGTGTGTGTGTGTGTGTGTTTGGGGGGGGGGGGGGGGGGGGGGAGGGTGCGTGTGTGTATGTGTTTGTATGGGAGCATGGATGGATGGACGGTGCTGCGTTGATTGTAAACCAATGCAGGTTGTGTTGGTTGAGTGGGTCTGGGAGCACTGGGGTCTCAATCTTTCAGTGAAGAACCATGACCAATGAGCATGTGAACACACTCACACACTCCTGGGGTCTCAATCTTTCCTTAATAGACCTTTGACAGTGGACTGCCTTGCAAGTGGCGCTCGGCTCTAGGAAGACACATGCAGTCCGCACAGTGCCCATCCATCTCTCCCTGACGCACTGCCGTGAATCCACAGATAATCTACTCCCGCTGCCTCACCATGCACTCATCGCTCTGTCTGCAACCAGTCTCCCATCTCGCTCACATAAACTGTAGGTTTAAAACGTGTCCTTATGGGAGGTATCGTGGCAAAGTCTCAGTGAACAGTTAGGTTCCAAAGTGGAGTTAATTTATTTTTTTTAGATTTACAAGTAGGCTATATTTAACAAACTGAGACTATGCTGGTTTCCATGTTTTCATCTTGTCATTGTAATTTCTGAAGAGTTATACTTTTTATTAAATATGGCTGCCTCTACAGTAAAAATATAGAGGCAGCATTCTGGTTTATTTAAAATAAAACAACCACAACCTGCACAACTTTATGTCATGTTTCCTCTAAGATTACAGGCCTGATCCGCTTCCATTAAACCAGCTTAAAATCTGGTCAAAACTCTATAAAAATAAAAATAAAAATCACTGACTTAAATGCTGCTTTGTCAGCATAAAGTGACAGATGGGGCATCACACGAATGGATCTGTATGTGATGAACAGTGTAGACCCCTTTGCTAAGATGACTGAGCCTCATAAATGGTGTGGACTAGGCTTTGAGAAAAGTTCTGCCTCTTGATCCTTCAGCCCTCTGACTGAGGCGGCTGACAGGTCACAATACAGAACATTCAATCCTCCATCCTCTTATGAATCTACCCAAAGTCTGCTCCTTCATACCTGACGGCTGCTTCCAATGAACAGCAGTCTCTGCATGCCCCCTCACCGGGACAAGCTGATGGATAATAAATCTTATTATTGACAGTGTCTGTTCCTGCTGCCATTCCATGCTCCCCTCCCCTGGGGCTCATCTTCTGACTCCCACAGCTCCAGCGCTCTCACAGAAGACAGCCGTGTCATGCTAACATCAGACTTAACAAGGGAGTTACCACAATTTAGTAACACAGTGTGAGCCAGCACAGGGATGATAACATGATCTCTGCATGTTTGACACTCAGTGATGCTTTTTGACACACTATCTGGAGGTGCCAGGACAGTTTAATGCCAAGCCGTACTGACATAGAACTTCATTCCTTGTTCTTAAAAAGCCTACATCCCCTTACTCATGCTGCATTCAATATTTGAGCTATTGCTCATTCTTAAATTGGGACAGGATATCTGAATTGGTGCTTAAGCTTGTGTTTTTACACAAAGAATGTATTTAGCCGCCTTTCATCAATACTTTGTAGCAATGTTTTTTTCTGAAATGACAGTTATCCAACATTGTGGAGCACTTTATCAAGTCCCAGGACTCCAAAGAGCTTTACACTGTATTCAGTCAATCACCCATTCATATAATTTCCTCAGATTGAAAAGCCCCTAAAAGTGAAATATAATTAGAAAATATGAGGCTTTAAGGGGTCAGGGATTCCTAAAACAAAATGCTCATGTGAAGTCATACTTTACATGAGCTTAATTTATTCCTGAAGACTAAAAACATGAGTTGATTCAGACACTCAGTGTAACTGCAAATGTGATGACTAACAGATGGTTCAGTTCCTCTTTGCCTCATGACTACATTAATGCATGACTGCAAGTTAGCTAACATAGGAAAACAACTTTTTATATAATTTACCACTAAACAAAAACAAACATTTTGCCCCATCTGCTGAATCTGCTTCAGGATTTTAGAGGAATACTTGAGGGATCTACAACCATGTGTGCATGAAGAAATGACTTGGCACAAACTGTTGGGTCAATGAGGCCACCCACAGAAACTGTAGACCTCTGGCGTTTGCTGTGAGCAGATGATGCCAGCCAGCAAGGGTGGTAGTGATGTCATGTCACCTCACTTCACAGGGGCGTGTTTAAAAGCAGGGTGATGGTTGGGGGAGAAAATTGATGTGTGTGTGTGTGGTAGGGTATTCGCTTGTGGCTCGTCCATCATCATAGCGGAGTCATAAGCTGTAAACGACACCAGCTGACCAGGGAAAGTAGGGCAGGAGGAACCCTCTACTCAAATTAACAGCAAAGGGTTGCTGCATAAAACAAATTTTATAGAAACTAGGAAGATGTAAGATCAGACTGTGTAT